GAGCTGTCCGAGCTCCGCGTGGAGCTTCTAGGCCAGCGGCGCTGGGCCGCCTCAGTGGCAGCGCCTCGGCGCCGGGGGGGAGGGCTGCTCCCAGCGCTGGCCCGAAGAGATCCGCGCGGTCTTCGCGGTCCGCGGATCGCGACTGCCCGAGCAGGCGTGTTTCGTGGTTCTTTCTGCTTCCTCGTTCGATCTCTCGACCCCACTTCCCTTGGCCGCTGAGAAACGGGAGGCTCGGGGATGCAGGCCCAGGGGGCTAACTATTCGGCCTCAGCCCTTTTTGATGATGACGCCCCCACTGTGTCTCCCCAGGGATTGGCCAATTGGGGATCGGGGTCGCCGTAACTACCTCTCGTCACGCTCCATTCTCTGACCTGCTGTTGCGCCGCTGGTGTTGGTGCTGCAACGTGTGAACTACCGCTGCCTCCACGGCTCGCAGCCATCGCGGCAGGCTCTGTGTCGTGTCGACTCGGTGGCAGCCTCACCGCGGTTTTTCAAGGATGAACGCCGCCGATGGCCTGGAATCGGCCGACATCGGACGACCGTTCAAGGTTGAACGAGCCACTCGGTGTCAGAAGCCAGCGCAGAAGTAGCCACGTCGAGAACCTGCTACACCATCGGCATCATCCAAACATACTTGCACTGTGTGTGCGCCCCCCCCCCAGGAGCAACGCGCACGCTCAGAAATTTGAGTGGCGGGCGCTTTCTCTACCGTGTTGATGATATTCGGTGGCGAGCGCAGGGTGGGGGAAATGAAAGGGGGCGGCGCTGCTCAGAAGCCTCGGAAGTCCCTCAGCCTCCTGGGAAGTCTCCGAACCTCCCCGAAGACGGAGACAACTTCCCAGAAGGCCTGAGGGCCTCCGAGAAGCCCCGCCGCCGTGGGGAAGGCCTTCTCCTCCCACTCCCCCCCCCGGGCGCGCCGCAGGGGTCCGCGATGATCTCGTGGTGCTGAGTCTTCGCTTCGGGCGTGCGTCTCCCAAGGGAGGCGCAGCGCTCTGCACCGGGCTGCGATCTCCTAAACAAAACGTAATTCGGGGGCGGAAAAGAGGGGGGTGATGACTAGGGGGGGTGGATATCATGGCGGGGGCCATGATATCTCCCAAGATTTCGTGGCGCGTCTTCTTATTTCATTTCGTCCCAGGTAGGCCCCCCCGCTGGGCCGCGCACATGCCGCCGGTCATGATTTGCCCTCCCCCTCTTGGACCCCCCCCCTCTTGGCTGCTCCCGAAATATGCATCTCTTGCATGTCTCGTCGAAGAATCGTCTGGGGGACCTTCACGGGGGGGTAGTTTTGCCTCCCCTGGTCTGCTTCTCACGGTCCCGGGGCCCAAACGTGGCCTCCGCAGGCCAGCGATGTGGAAGCATCGAGGGCGACGAAAACGACGCAAGCAAGGATTAGAGTCGCAGTAACTTCCCGGGCAGTGTGCAGTGCAGTATGTCTTTCCGCGTCCCATACAGTGTTGGCTCTCTTTCGCTTGCCTACCTGTCTGCCTCTGCTGCCGTGCCGCACACGCCCGAGAGGACGCGCGCGTCGTCATCACTGGAGCCACCAGCGGCATCGGCCAGGAGGGCCTTCCGCCTTGATTCTCTGTCTTGTGTGGTGCGTGTGTGTGTGTGTGTGTGTGTGTGTGTGTGTGAGTGTGTGTGTGTGTGTTGATCCATCCGTTGCTTTCTGTATGCATCCCCGCGTCTCCTTCTGATGATGAGGATGATGAGGCGGAGGAGGGGAGGCAAGAGGATTAGGAGGTGGATGCGAAGGTACGCAGGTCCTCCGTCGGCCCGCTGTGCTGTCGTTCCCCTCCTGTCTCTCTGTTTTTGTTCAGGTTCGCCGCCGCTGACTGCCGTATGCCGTATACTTGATTACAGTCATTAGTTGAACGCCCCTTGGGGCAGACACCGCCGCCCCGCTGTTTTGAGAGCGCGGTCGCTGTGATGCAGATGTGGGAAGACGTGAACCCGCGACCAGAGTTGGCGAGTCTCGCTATAAAGAGAAGTGCACCACCCGAGAAGCATGGGTCCAGCAGAGTCGAAGGCGGCTCAGGAAGGCGCGAGCAATTGCCGAGAACCTGCTCCTGGAAGCCGAGGAGGGCCCCGACAAGCCGCCTGGGCGGCCGCATAGAGGCCGCTGCTTGCTGCCCGTAAGCGTTTCGCCCCTTCCGCTGGCACACATTGTGTATCATTGGTGCTATACATGTTGGTGTGATCGTGGCGAGCGACAGCGGGGAGGAGGAGGAGGAGGAGGAGGAGGAGGAGGAGGAGGAGGAGGAGGAGGAGGAGAAGATGGGGAGGAGGATGAGGCCTCTCGATGGCTATGTGGGGCATTTTTGGGGCCAAGCTGGGTCGTAGAGAGGGCGCCTCTTTGGGAGGCCTTTCGGGGTCTCTTGGGAGCTTGGAGGAGGAGAAGGAGGAGGAGGTGGAGGAGGATGAGGAGGAGGTGGTGGTGGTGGTGGTGAGGAGGAGGAGGCAGTATGATGATGATGATGATGATGATGATGATGATGATGATGATGATGATGATGATGATGATGATGATGGTGATGGTGATGGTGATGATGATGCTGATGCTGATGCTGATGCTGATGCTGGTGCTGGTTCTGATGCTGATGCTGATGATGATGATGATGCTGATGATGCTGATGATGATGATGAGGAGAAGGAGGAGGAAACGGAGGAGGAGGAGGTGGATGAGGAGGAGGAGGAGGTTTTCGCGGTCGGAGGGGGTCTACACTCACGGCCATCGCCATGGATGGTGCAACCTTCTCTAAGCCCGGTGAAATGATTGGTGCTCTTCGCATTCCCTCCCTGGGAATGCGTCGCCCCCCTCGGGTGGCTCCCCTTGATGGGTTTTCTATGGGGTGGGGAGAAGCTCTCCATCCTAGTTGGCGAGAGTGACCTAATTATTGTCGCGTGCTGGAACTCACCGGCGCCCTTCACTACCATCCCGTACTTTATCTTTCCGCCAAGCCGAGAGTGTCCTTCTTCTGATCGGCTTCCATCGCCTCTAGCTGCGGCTCCTCCCACCCGTTGCTGTCGCCATCACGCCCCTTGGCCCTCGTCCATCCCCTGCCTCGAGGTCATGATCTTCCTCCATTCCTCTCTCGCTCCTCCCTCGCCCATCTGCCACTGTCGGGTTCCACCTTGAAGATGTACTTCCCCACAGCTGGCGACTCTTTAGATAGAATGTTCCAGCAGTCGAGGCCATCGGGAATCAGGAGCCAGGAGGAGGTTCGCATGCCCCCCGCCGTCCCGCTGTGTTGTCGTTCCCCTCTTTGCCTCCCTTTCTCGGGCGTGCTGCCGCTGACTGCCGTGCACCTGACATACGTTATTTTCCAGCCCTGCTCCGGCGAAAGGCCGGGATGGGAGGGGGTTCCAGAGCCTTGAGACGGGGGTCGACGCAAAAGCGGGTCTGCGAGAGCTCTGATTCTTGCAGGATCTTGCAAAGCCAGGGTTGCAGTGACCCAGGCTAGTGCGCTGGATCCTGCCGGATTCTGCAGGATCCTGCAAAGCCTGACTGGCATGGGTTTGCGTTGGCCCAGGTTAGTGGAAATCCGACAAAGCTCCGAGGGCTCCCTGGCCTTAACCTGGAACCGTCCGCAGGGTCAGCGTCAGGCGGAAAACGAGGAAGAGGGCGACAAGTAGGTCAGCCACGCGCAAAGGGGGTTAGGGGGAGGGGGAAGGCTTCTCAGAAGCACCCGTGCTTCTCAGAAGACTCGGGCCTTGTCGGTAGGTGTAGGATCGGCGCCTTCTGAGAAGTGGCCTCCTTCAGAGAAGCTTTCCCCCCTCCCCCTGCCTCCTTGTGCGCGCCGCCAAAAGGACGTGTGGTCCTCCCTCAGCCCTTTCGGGGCTGCGCTTGCAGCTGACTGTAGTCGTTCTCCGCCGCTTGCTCGGGGCGGCTCGGTCGTGCCTGCCGTGCCAACGGTGTGGGCGTCTGCCTGCGATTGCCTCCACCTCGCTCTTTCGCATAGTCGACTCGTCGGAGGTATGGTAAGTTAGCACCAGCAGCCACCAAGTACCAAAGGCAAGGTCTCCCCAGCAGAGGCGGCCTGCGATGCTGGTGCTGGTGACGTCTTCTACGTAAACTAATTCGGCCTCACATGTTTCTGTCGGGTCCCAAGAGGCAGAGCCAATGCGAGAGGCATGCGACTGGGTGGTGTGCAGTGAGACGACGCACGCGCAAGGTGGAGTATGGCGAGGAACCTGTGGCCTGGCAGCTTCAGGCGAGTCAGGCGAAGAGAACTCCGTCTCTTCGCCCCCCATCTCGAGACATGGCGAGCAGGGCGGGCTTATGCGAGCGGGGCGCAGCCAGAGGGATGGGCCAAGGTGCAGCCAAGGGCGGTATGTTGGCGCAGGGGACATCGCAGACATCATCCGCGGGCGACCAGTATGCACCGTACCGCGTTGGCGTCCCTCGAGGCGTCGTCGACTTTCGACCCAGGAGTGGTATTGTGCATGGTTTCTCGGTCCTCGGAGCCGAAGGACGATGCACTGTACCGCATTGGGGCGATGCCTGAATAGAGTCCAAACATGGTGCTATGCACGAGCCCCGTTCTAGCATATTAGCATGGGCAGGATGAGGGCTAGGGGCACGGGCTCCGGGGTGAGGACCGTGCAGGGCGATGACGAGGACGAGGACGTCGAAGAAGTTGGGAGCACATGGGCGGCAAGAGGTTTTGAAGAGCTTCAGTCTGCCTCTGGCGGCAGTTTCCCAGTCCTGGGACCGTCAATCAAACGATGTGGAATGACAAACAAGTCCCGGAGAGGAGGTCGGGATCCCCGGGGGACGGGGTGAAGCGGAAGGGGTGAGAAAGGCAAGACAATCCAGGGCATAGTCGCAAGTTGATCAGTGGCAGTGAGGGCAGGGCACCACGGTCGTGGGCCGTGGCAGAGCACAGGGCAGAGAGACAGGCCAGGGCGGTGCAAGGCAACCGCCATGAAGCACTGCACTGCGAGCACGAGTGCGGAGCACCACTAACGCCGTCATGGCCATCTGCGCCGCAGCCTTTGGCTCAAGGCCTTTTTTTGCCAGTTCGAGGGCCTCTCTTCCCCCCCGCCGCTCTCGAACACCAGTCGGTCGCTGCTGGGCTGCGTCCCCGCCGAGCAGGCGCCCCTCCCTGGGCACCGCGGCTTCTCGGCGGCGATGGACGCCTTCAGCCTGATGTCCATGTGCAGCGCCCCCAGCAGGGCCGCCGAGGAGGCCGGCGGCCGCCCCCAGGAGCCGCGCGGCGCCGTCGGGCCACCTCGCCAGGCCCCCGGCGTGCCCCTCCCGGGCCTGGGAGCAGTGCGCACGCCTTCCTGGCCTGGCCTCGAGTCGGGCATGTCCCTCGACATCGGGGGTCCCCAAACGGGGTGGTGACCACACCGTGCGGTGAGTCGGTGTGGATTCGGGGTCACCGCACGGTTTGGGACTCGGGTCGTTCTCCGAGAAGGTATCGGGCAACAGGGGCCTCCGGGGCTCCAAGCCCGTGCGGTGACGGACCGCGCGGTGAGGTCTTGGGGGACTTCCAGGTCACCGCACGGTCTGTCACCGCACCGTTTCGGGACTCCAAACTACAGGATGAATATTCAGACATAGTAGCAAAAATAGTGGGGTGACGATTTTCGATTTTTTTTTGGGACTATGTTTGACTATTCGTGGACTGTCTTTCCATGCTTCTTCCAAGCTCCTCCTCTAGGCGGACATGCCCGACCCGAGTCGGCCACGGAGGCGAATGCGCTGGCCCTGGGTGCAGGATCGGCCCGGCCAGGCTGCGTCAGGTGGGGCTCAGGGGCGCTCGTACTGAACGGTCCTGGGCGTTTGCCGAGCGGTCCTTCCCTTAGTGGGCCCTGGAAACGACAGGGCCGTTTTTTTACCGGTTCCGTTTTGCCGTTTTTTTACCGGTTCCGGCTCCGGTTCCAATCCTGGAGCCGTTTTTTGGCCGTTTCCGGTCGCCGTTTTTTTGCCGTTTCCATTTTCAATGGACATTTTTTTGGAAACGTTGAAAAAACGGCCCTGCCGTTTCCGGGGCCCATCCCCGTGTCCGGCTCCTCCCTCAGGGTATGCTTACCAAAGGGCTACGCCTGCTTGCATGCTTTTTTATGCGAGTGGCTCTTCTGCCCACTACTCAGGGGCTATGGGGGGGGATAGGCTTTGGGGGAACGCATCGGTCCTGAATCGCCCACTGATCGCCGATGGGATTCCGATAGCCCACCCCGCCCAGGAACATGCAGCTCTGCAATCGGGGGCTGATGCCCAATCTCTCGGCGCTTCACCGCCGATTCCAGGTCGATGGTTCTCCCCCTGAGCTGGTCCTCCCTACAGTAACACACGATCAGAAGGACAAGTAACACGGCAAGGGTGCCATTGCGTCCTTGCCTCTTCGGCCCGTCCTTGGCCGTTTTTGCCTGCCAGCCTCTCGGGGTACCCTTGAGCCTTTTTGCCCCGCCGCCCACCCGGCAAGCACGGGGGCCGGCGAGGGTACCTCTTGCGCTCTTGGGATTGCTACCGTGCGCCGCTCAAAAGGCTCGACTGGGGCGTCCAAGGCCCCTTGCGTCCTTGCCGCGTGTCCTTCTGATCTCGTGCCCTGAGGTCCAGCGTCGCGGAACCAAAAAAACAACAGCGTCGCCAGAAGTTGCGACCCGATTCCCAGGTTATTTCTCTCCCGAGCAGGATGGATCCGCGACGGCCTCGGGGCCCCGAAGGAGGAGGAGGAGGAAAAAGAGGAGGAGCCAGGAGACAGGAGGCAAGAGGCAAGAGGAGGAGGAGGAGGAGGAGGAGGAGGAAGAGGAGGAAGAGGAGGAGGAGGCGGAGGAGAAAGAGGAGGAAGAGGAGGAGGAGGAGGAGGAGGAGGCGGAAGACTTTCGACATCCACTGCCACCGACTCCCTCTACAGGGGGCATATAGTTGAGACATCGACTGTGATCCCTGACCAGCTGGGGTTGGATCCCTTGCCCAACAGTCTGCAACTCTCGCACTCCTGAGGCTGCGCGAGAGGAACGCACACGGCCGCGAGTGCTCCTGAGGCTGCGCGAGAGGAACGCATACGGCCGCGAGTTTACCGACCCCTCCACCAGAGGTACAAGAGCCGCACCGTTGGCAGATGCAAACCAAGGAATAATCGTTGCAGTCGACTACAACGCATCTGTGACCCAGATCGCGGAGCGATTGAGGCTGAATGCGTGGCAGCAAAATGCAGAAACCAGGCGAAGGCTTCGACGGCGAGCGAGCGCATCGAAGACAACGAACACATTGCCAGTACTAGCGGGGCGGTTGTCCAACTAGCTCCTTCTCGTGAGATGGCCTCGGATCTTTCACACGGGGGGAGGGGCCTCAGAAATCCCCCAGGTCGGTCCGAGGCCATCTCTCCATCAGGTTGGTGGCCAACCTGGTCACAGCTCTCGAAACGGCACAGGAATTTGATCCCTTCAGCCTCTGCGTCCGAGAGGCGAGCGTGCAAGGCGGCGCCTTCCTTCGCCGCTTGGTCAGCGACAGTGTTACCTATGACGTGCAGTCTGTCTTCCACCGACAGGCTTTCGCCCTCCTGATGGTGGGCTCGAACCTCAACCACGGACCGCAGCAACCCTTGCTCCAAAGAGTCAGCCTGCATCACCAGCCTACTGTAAGGCCGTGATGGGTGCAAGCGGTCTTTGGGAGGTGTCCAAACATGTTTAACTACCGCAAGGCAGTCGGGATTGAAAACCGAATCCCTTACCAGAAGCGACGCAGCAGCAACAGGAGCCGCGAACTCTGCAGCGACACTAGTTTTGGGGAGCGAGCTGCCTAGAGACCCAAAACATTTAGCATGGAGGAGGAGGAGGGAGGTGGAGGAGGAGGATGATGAGGAGGAGGAGGAGGAGGAGGAGGAGGAGGAGGAGGAGGAGGAGGAGGAGGAGGAGGAGGAGGAGGAGGAGGAGGAGGAGGATGAGGAGGAGGAGGAGGAGGAGGAGGAGGAGGAGGAGGAGCGCGCCAGTATCTCGTGCTCTGACTGGGACGTTTCCCCTTGCCCACAGGACGCCGCCCCCCGGCGCCCGCGGCCCGTCGCCCCGAGGTGCTGCGACATGCGCTGCTGCTGCCGCGGCGGCACGTCCCCCGGCGAGTTCAAGCCTCCCGCGCCAGGGGAGCGGTACGACGCCGTGGCGGCGGGCTGGGAGGCCTGGGAGGACCTCCTCCTTCTCCCTCCTCCTCCTCCTCCTCCGCCTCCTCCTCTTCCTCCTCCTCCCTCCTCCTCCTCCCTCCTCCTCCTCCTCCTCCTCCTCCTCCTCCTCCTCCTCCTCCTCCTCCTCCTCCTCCATCCTTTCCCAGATATGCAACTCCTTCCTGTCGCACCCCCAGACGTGTTGGTAGGTCTCTACGTATGGGGAGGGAAAGATGCCGACGCCGCTGCTCGTCCTGGAGAGCCCGCGACGCCACGGCCAGATTTTCTTCGAAATCCTGCTCGCGGCGCACCCTGGGAGAGGTCTGGGGAGTAGCGGCATCGGTATTTCTGTTGGCTTCCTCCAAATCAGCACTTTTACGCCTCTACGCTGTCCACGCTGCCCACTATCCTCCTCCTCCTCTTCCTCCTCTTCCTCCTCCTCCTCTTCCTCTTTCTCTCCTCTTCTGTCCTCTCCTTTCCTCTCCTCCCTCTTCCTCTTCCCTCCGCTGCCAGCGGTCTGCAGCTGCAGCGCTTCGTCCACGACACCCGCCAGTGTCTTCGGCCTGGTCGCTAGGAATGGCCTGCGCCTTCGGGCGCCTCAGCCTTGAAGCTATCGGTCGGCGGCGACCGAGGGGGGGACGTGAGAAGGAGGAGGCCTGCTCAGAGGCGGCGGGACCCCTCGGAAGCCATCGCGCCTCTGAGGGCTTTTCTGTGCCTTCGGGGAAGGCGCAGAGGCTCCTCAGAAGGCCGGGGTGGCTTCCGAGCCTCCCGAGAAGGCCCGCCCCCTCTCGCCTCCCCCCCGGGGCTGCTCGCCGCCGAACTGGGCACCCGCAGGAGCGCGGAGGTGCCCGCGCGCCTCCGCGCGGTAGCCTGGGCCGGGGGGCTGCCCCTCTTCCGGGGGACCCCGCGGGGGCGCGGGGAGAGCCGCGCGGCGCGCCTCGCAGGGCGCGGTGCGCGAGTTTCGGTGACCTGGTGAAGCTCTCAGGGGGGGAGAGAGCACGCGCAGACACAAATGACTGTCGACTTCCAGGGAACCATGGGAAACCATGGGTGGCGAAGGGGAAGCCGAAGCTGCAGGGACTGTGATAGAACATGGGGAATCCTAGGATTTGTGTATCATTTTTGTGTGTGCGTGTGCGTGTGCGTGTGCGTGTGCGTGTGCGTGTGCGTGTGCGTGTGCGTGTGCGTGTGCGTGTGCGTGTGCGTGTGCGTGTGCGTGTGAGTGCGTGCGTGCGTGCGTGCGTCTTTGTTTGTGTGTGTGTGCGCGTGTGTGTGTGTGTGTGTGCGTGTGTGTGTGTGTGTGTGTGTGTGTGTCCGGGCCCCTTGAACTTGGTTCAATCTGCAACGAGATCTGTTGGATCGGTGCCGGACTTTCCTGGCAGCGCCTTCAGCGTGCTCCGCCCGTCAGTGGCGGAGGGTTCCAGTACCGCTTCGAGAAGTCCGCGCGGACTTCCGCCAGGCTGTCTTGGTATATATTAATCTTCCTCCTGAGGAGCAGGAGGAGATTGTGCCCAGAGAGGGGGAGGACGAGGAGCAGCGGCAGCTGCGCGAGATGCTGGGGGAGGCCTTGGGCATCGAGGTGCGCCAGTGCCCGTTCTGCAGCGTGGCCTGTGTCAAGGACAATCCAGACGACTGCGACCACATCCACTGCGTCTGTGGCCGTGAGTTCTGCTGGCAGTGCCTGGCCGACAGGGAGGTGATCGAGGGAAGAGACACGAGGACCATGACCACGATGGCGCGGGATCTTGTCGATGCCGAGTTTGGTCATGGTCCATGTCGGCCGCAGCCGATTCGCGAGGATGATACACGAATTGACACTGACCAAGGTCGACACGACGTTTCCGCGCTTCGTTTTTTTTTCATGCTCCCCGCTTTCTCCCTCCAGGTGATCTTCCACCACGGGAACCACTATCACAGGCCAGGGTGCCCGTACCGCTTCGACTTCCAGGACCAGGACCGCGGGCGGGAAGCGCGTCCACATCCGAGGCCTCTCGGGGTCATCGTCAGCTTCGGCCGAGGTTCTGCTGTGGATACAGGGCGATTCCTGCGCGCAGGCCCCGCGCGGGACGTGTCCGTGGGACCCCGCATCCACAAGGTCGCGCCTCGGTGTCGAGGAGGAGGAGGAGGAGGCGGAGGAGGAGGAGGAGGCGGAGGAGGAGGAGGCGGATGAGGAGGAGGAGGCGGAGGAGGAGGCGGAGGAGGAGGAGGAGGAGGCGGAGGAGGAGGAGGAGGAAGGAGAGGAGGAGGGGAGGAGGAGGAGGAGAGGAGGGGAGGAGAGGAGGAGGAGGAGGAGGAGATGAGGAGGAGGAGGAGGAGGAGGAGGAGGAGGAAGAGGAAGAGCAGGAGGAAGAGGACGAGGAAGAGGAATACGAACAATAATAATACGTGTTTATAAGAGTAAGAATGCGAACCGTACTAATAATAACAATCATAAAATCAACACGACTAAACATACTATTGATACGAATAAGACTATCAATACGAACCATACTACTAATACTGATTTTAAATATAAGAATACGCATACTAATAAGACTAATCATAATCATGGAAATCATACTATTAAGCATACTACTGATAATATTATGAAGACTACTCGTAATACTAAGAATGAAAATAAGACGCGGAGGAGGAGGAGGAGGAGGAGCAGGAGGGGGATGGGGGGGGAGGGAGGGAGGGAGGGAGGGCGGGAGGGAGGGGAGGGGGATTATGATGATGATGATGATGGTGATGATGATGATGATGATGATGATGATGCTGATGATGATGCTGATGCTGATGATGATGATGATGCTGATGTTGATGCTGCTGATGCTGATGTTTGTTGCTGATGCTGATGATGATGATGATGATGTTGATGATGATGATGCTGACGATGATGATGATGCTGCGGCTGATGATGATGATGATGATGATGAATGATGATGATGATGAGGATGAGATGAGGATGAGGATGATGATGATGATGATGATGATGATGATGATGATGATGATGATGATGATGATGAGGATGATGATGATGATGATGATGATGATGAGGATGAGGAGGAGGAGGAGGAGGATGATGATTATGGTGATGATGATGATGATGATGATGGTGATGATGATGATGATGATGATGATGGTGATGGTGATGATGATGATGATGATGATGATGATGATGCTGATGATGATGATGATGATGATGATGATGATGATGATGATGATGATGATGATGATGATGCTGATGATGATGATGATGATGATGATGATGATGATGATGATGTTGATGCTGATGCTGATGATGATGATGCTGCTGCTGCTGATGATGATGATGAGGAGGAGGAGGAGGAGGAGGAGGAGGAAGATCGCGAGTGCATGACTTTGGAGATGCTCGTCGGTATCAAAGTTCGCCCCAGCTCTGCCCCCCCGGACCCGCACCGCTCCCGGGGCCCGTCGGGGCCAGCTCTGCACTTGGGATCGATGAGCGACGGCCCCAGGGACCGAGCCGCCTCCACATGCAGACGGCGACGTAGAGCCTTGATCCTTGATCCCATTTTTCCCCCCTCGAAGAAGGGCTTGCTCTCATGCTGTGGGCATGTCTGCAATGCCTTGCAGTGCCCAGCCTGTGGTCGGCGCCCTCCATGCTCCTCCCAGACCGTTTCTGGCAACCGCGCTGCCCCTTCGGCCTGCGGCCAGTCTGTGACCCCTTGTGTTCGGCCTGCTTCGGCATGGTGGGGTCCCCTTGCCATCAGTAGGGAAGCTGGCAGTTTTCATCTTCGGGGTTTGCTCCCTGCAGAACTACAGTGGAAACCCATGCCAAGAAACTCCCTGCGTGCCTCCAGGGTGCCCTGGGTTTCTTGGGTTTCGATGGTGTTCCTGCCGAAAGCGTGACGTTCCCACGCCATAACTCAGCGCAAGTCCCGGGGTGTCAGGGCTGGGTTCCTTGTGGAAGGTCTCTCGTGGTCGGGCTCCTGCTGTAATCCCCCCCGAGCCCAGGAGCTGAAGCTGCACCCGAAGTGCCCCCAGTGCCAGCGGACGGGCCGGGCCTGCAGGCCCCCCAGGGGCACGGCCCCCGCGCGCCGACGAAGGTCCGCCCTCGGCGGCTCCTGAGCCCTGTGGGGGAGTCAGCATCGGCGGCGAGCGAGGGGGGGGGAGGTGAGGAGGAGGATGAAGAGGAGGAGGAGGAGGAGGAGGAGGAGGAGGAGGAGGAGAAGGAGGAGGAGGAGGAGGAGGAGGAGCCTCCCCCGCAAACAAAAGCCTGACTTCTCAGAGGGCGCGAGGGCCTCGGAGAAGCCCCGCCGCCTTCTGAGAAGGCCTTCTCCTTCTCACTCTCTCCCCCTCGCTCCGGCCAGTTCGCGCGATCAGTGACCCCAAGAGCCTGTTTTTTTTGACGTCTGGGCGATCACGGCCGTGATCGGCCCTCTCCCTCCCTTCCTCCCCCCCCCCCGAGATCACGTCACGCTAGCCATTGTGCCCACATCTGCGAAGGGTTCCCATGGATTCTTCGAGGATTTCCTAAGATTTCCGGCGGCCCCCCCGCCGTGAAGTGATCGGGGCGTGAAGCTCTCCCGATCGCGCCCCGTCATCGCGAATCAATTACAAAGCAGGCTCCAAGCTCTGCCACGGCCGTGGAACTGTGTGGGGACGGAAGGGATGGGCCAGGCAGGCCTTCGGCCAGTAGCACCCGAGGATTGGTCGCGATCGAATTGGGGACGGTCCTTCGCCTGCTGATGGGGGTCAGCCCTCTGGGGGCCAGGGACAGATAAGCTAAATTTCTTTGGTTTTCCCTGCGCGGGACTGTACTTGTCACAACCAATTCTTCCTGGGCCTTCCCTGGGCAGTTACTTCTCCGCCCAGTGTCAGGAGGCGCCAGGAAGGCGCCTCCTGGCACTGGGCGGCGCCGTTCATGGGCGCCTCCCGGTGCCAGGAGGTGCCAGGAAAATTAGTTGCGTGAACTGATTCCCCACCCTGCCCTTCGCTATCCTGCCCTTCCGCCCCCCCGATGGAACGCAGCAGTTTCTGTCCACTTTGCCTTGGGCCCGCCGTCGGCGTCGCCGCAGACGTCGTCCACTTGGAACGGCCGTCGCCTGCCCCTCAAGTGGCCGCTGTCGGAAATTTGGAAAGCACTGGCTGCTGGGCATCTCCCCTCACGGTTCCCGTTCCCACGTCGATCGCGCCAGGAGCCACTCCTTTTTTATGTGTATATCTATGTTATATTATTTTCGGCTGTTTTGCAATTGTGTTTCCTCTTTTTCCTCCGATTCTTCACTCAGGCTCTTAAAGAAACGGGACACGGCACAAAGAAGCACATGCTTTTGGAGGTCCGCGAGGATTTTATTGTGGTGGCGCTGGGCCCAAGCCTTGGCAGCGCTTCCAGCACCGCCCCTTGCTGCGCTTCGTGCGACAGGGCAGGGACGTCCAGCGCCGATTTAGTAAGGCATTCGTACGGACGTTCGGCAGGCCCTTGTTATGTTTTTTTGTTCCACTTCCTATCGCTTGTTCCTCCCCCTTCTCTCGGATGCAACTCCTGGGAGGTCAAATTCTGATTTCGCCCTGGTCCGGAATCCGGCTTAATCTGGCTTAGTCCCGCTTAATCCCGCTTAATCCCGCTTAATCCGGCTTAATCTGGCTTCATCCCGCCTGATCCGGCTTAGTCTCGCTTAGTGCGAGGCCCAATCTGGCGTAACAGCGCCCCATTGGGGCTGAATCCTCCTTACTCCTTCCGACGAAGACCTCTCAGTAGCTGCCTCCTAACCTCCTTCACTTCTCATAATCGTTTTCCTGCTCCTCCTGCGCACGCACCCTCCTCCCTCCTCTCCCCCCCGCGCGTGCAGTCCCAGAATTGCCGAGCACAGGCACATCCCTCCTCCTTTTCCCTCTCCTCTTCCTCCTCCTCCTCCTGCTCCTCCTCTTTCTCCTCCTCCTCCTCCTCTCTGCTCCTCCTTCCTCCTCTCTCCTCCTTCCCCTTCTCCCCCTTCTCCTCCTTCCTCCTCTCTTCTCCTCCTCCTTTTCCTCCTGCTCCTCTCCTCCTCGTCCTCCCCCTCCTCCTCTCTGCTCCTCCTTCCTCCTTCTCTCTGCTCCTCCTTCCTCCTTCTCTCTGCTCCTCCTTCCTCCTCTCTCCTCCTTCTCCTCCTTCCTCCTCTCTTCTCCTCCTCCTCTTCCTCCTGCTCCTCCTCGTCCTCCCCCTCCTCCTCCTCCTCCTCCTCCTCCTCCTCGAGTCCGAGCACAAAGGCAAACTGCAGTACACGCTCAACCCGCTCCCGACCCTCGTGCCGCACCTGATGTCACAGGAGCCAGGCGAGGCGGTCCTGACCATGGCGAGGGGCTACTCGCCGACGAAGCTCAAGGAGGCCTTGACGACGGCGATCCTGGTGCTGAACGGCGTCAAGGGGCAGGGAGCGGCGCCCAAGAGCGCCCTGGAGAGGGCGGTCGAGGCGAGCCTACGCAGGCGCTGAGGTCGGGTACAGATCACTACCGGAGCTCGACGGCACCAACCGTCCCAACGACGGTAGGCCTCGGTACGTCCCCACCTCTGGCCTCGCCTCCGTGGCCTCCTCAGCGAGCGGAGGAAAAAATTGCCCATGAGATTTCTCTCGACCCAGCACGTTTTGGGAAGCTCACACAACAGCGTGCGGTTAGTGAACGGTTTAATGAATTATACAGACTCGCATTGTCATACAGGGCGAGGAGAAGGAGAATGATGCAAGGTTTGGGCCTAGAGGAGCCTCAGCACTCCGAGAGACCCACAGGGAGCTCAAGCAGTAAGGAGGCCCACGACACGACCGAGCCATCATCACAGCAGCCACATCATAAAGGACCCGACGAGACCCAGTAACCTCCAGAGGCCCCCCTTTGGCAGGGATCCTACTAGGATGTACGTTGTTTCCCGACTCTCCGACCTCCGACCCCAGCAAGAAGTGGTGCCCCACCGTTCTTGGTTACCGTTGCCACCTACTGGTTCAGACGGCCTCTCTTCTCTTTGTGACACCGCACCTTCCTCGATATTATTTTGGCCCAACCAGCAGCAGCCTCCGACTTTCGTTTCTTGTACACAGAGCCGCATTGGCGGCATTACTTCTCCGACGGCTGCTGAATATGGCGAAGTCTTCAGCATGGTGCCCCGCAGATGGCGGAACAGAGCAAAGCATACCCATGCCTCAAATCTCGTACTTTGATGTAAGATATGCAAGCCCCATGGGAAGACTCATCATGGGCAATGAACGGTTGAGAACTACGAAGCCGCTGCTTGAACAACAAGTCCCAGCTGTTCAGGAAGCTCTGAAGGCATTGACCAGACAGCATGGACTTATTCGATTAGCACTACAGCGCCTGGCTCCACCAATGGAATATGATCTGGAAGAGCAGCTTGAGAAGCAAGAAGTTGTTCGCAAACTCGAGAGCCAGGCTCTTCAGGTGCAGAATGCTATGAATGGGCTGAAGTACACACTGGGCATACTTCGTTATGAAGATGAAGCCATGATCCCGCCTTGGCCAGATGCGATCAACTATGTGTATGAACTACTGGCCACGCATGAGCAGCATGACAACGACGGGCCTCCCCAAGCAAGGCAGTGACACATTACTCCAGTGACTCATGACAGATGATTGAGGGGAGCTGGTTGGGAGCTGCTACAAACACCGAAATAGGACGGTGGTGCATACGACGGCTGACTCACAAATGTGATTTTTTCTCCCCAGAGGACTGCAAAGTGACGAGGGTCAGATGATCTCCCATCCACTCCCCATGCCACATTGAATGAGAGAGTCAATTTTTATTTTGAGTATATCCCATCTTGCCCGCGTACAGGAAGGGCAGGAGATGGGCAGGGGAGGCCGCCGACCACGACGGCGAGCGGCTGCAGCAGCCGCCTCTCTCTCTTCTCTCTTTTGTTGCTGGTTGGTGCTATTCTTTTACCTCTGTTTCTACTTTTCGCCGTCGGACTAGACGGTCCGAGAGCGCTTCTTGAGAGGCTCCCTCGCCCAGAGGGTCAGGGAGCTCTCCTCCGCCCGCGAGGGCAGAAGTGTCCCCCTCCCCCACCCACTCGCCGAGTTGGGAGGACGACTTCGGGTCCCTCTCTACTTAGCGAAGGGGCGGGGGATGCGGGGGGCATTTCTACCCCACTTCGAGGTCAGCGGACCTCGCCGCTGATCCGTCTGCCAGGCAGGGGCGGACTGGCCCCCCTCCTGGCACGCGGTGGCAGGCCCCACCACGAAGGTGGGGGGCATACTGCACAGCTCTTACGCAGGGGTCAAAGGCCTCTCGGTGCTCCAGAGGCCTGCGAAGACCCCCAAGCGCCTGACCCTGACCCTGACCCTCCTCCTCCTTCTCCTCCTCCTCCTTCCTCCTCTCTCATCGCATCCCCCCTCTCTCCCCCCCCCGGCGAGGGCTTGGGCGCGGAACGGGATGGGGGTGGCTCCTACTCTCGGCGAAGGACGACCTTTCGCAAGAGGTCCCCACAGTTCCCATCCAGTACTTTGCCTATTTTCCCCCCTTCGGTTCTACACCAGGTCGGGCCACAGGGCGGGATTGGGCAAGGAGAGGATACGGTCAACCCACATAGCAAGGATGGGCAATCTTCCCAAGGGTATCTTTGCATTCCGGCCCATCCTTGGCCATTGTCGTTGGCCACGCCCCGCTCGAAAAGCCTCGGCCCTCGCATCCTTACCGCGCATCCTTATGCTACGGGTCGACTGTAGCGACACCTGCTGCACGCAGCCGGTCCGGGCACCGTGGCCTGGGCGCGGCTGATATTCCTCGATGCGCGGCCGCCCCCGTGGCACCGGGAAGTTCTGCCGACTGTGAGTTCTGGCTTGCTGCAGCCAAGACGGGCGCGTGAAAGATGTCGGGCGGGTCATATTATGGCAAGTTGGGTATGCCCCTCTACTGGAGGAATTTTCAAAAATAGTCAAAACATCGTCTGGGGACGATTTTTCTAGTAGTGTTTGGATATGTGTTGATAATGGTTCATTTTTCTTCCAAAATCCGCCTGTAGGAGGACATGCCCGACCTACGTAAAATGGGGGGTAGTCGAAGCGGGGGGTGAAGAAAAGGACCCGGAAGGGGCCTCGGGGCCCCTTCTGGGCTCCTGCTGGCTCCCAAAGGGGCCCTGAAGAAGGGCCCCTTGCGGGCCCTTTTCTGCTGCTCCTCCTGCTCCCTACGTGATCGGGGGCAACGACGGCCCCCAATCGCCCATCGATCGCCGACAGGCGCCCGATATCCCCAACCTGCCTGGGAGCGCGGGGGTCCACTATCAGAGGCCCATCGCCGGCCTATCGGCGATGTATCGCCGACTCCAGGTCGACGCCTCCCTTCTTCTTGATGCCAGCCCCCCCTCCGTATCCTTGCCCCTCACGCGCGGAGCCTGCTGCTCCTCCCTGCTCCCTCGCCGCTCCTCTCCCACACTCTGCGCACGCCTCCCTCGGCGGCGCGCCGAGGGGGGCAGCGAGAGAGGGGGCAGGCCTTCTCCGCAGGCGGAAAAGAAACACACAGACACAACTAATCCTCGATTCCCCAGAAAATCGGTTAATTTTTGTATATTTATTTGTGTGTCCTGGGGCCCCTTCATTCTCCGCAGGCGGAGGGGGCTCCTCGCAGGCCCGCCGGCCTTCGGAGAGGCCGTCGGTGGCGGAGGCCCCTCTGAGCCTTCCGAGGAGGCCCGCCCCCCTTGGCCTTTCGGGCCGGACGAAAGGGGGGATTGGGAAAGGGGGGTTACGTAATCTGCTGCATGCAGCTAGTTTCGGCCCCACCGAGGGGCCCATTCCTCGATACATGGGCGCCTTCCGGCGCCGGGAGGCGCCGGGAAAATCAGCTACGTGAGCTGATTCTCAACCCCCCCCTTTGCTATCCCCCCCTTTCGCCAGGCCCGACCTTTGCCCTTCCCCCCGCCTGGCGCAGGTCCCCGCCGCTCCCCGTTCTCACCGAGCGCGTGCCGCTGCTCGCAAAGTGCCTGCTCGCAAGCGTTCGGAGGTCGGTAGGCGTCCTGCCCTGGCACGTCGATGAGCGAATTGGCCGTCTGCGGTTCGCGAGAGGGCGTCGCGGCCGTCATTTTTGCGGGTCCAGGTCCGTCGGTTTCGGCCCCGGATTGTTTTCATCAAAGGATGGTTTGCTAAAGGGAGGTTTGTCCACCGCCGAAACGTCCGCAAAGCTATACGTCTGCCTTGGTGTTGTGTATCGCGAGTTCCCTCTGGCAGATCCAGGCCATTTGCGAGCAGCTACTCTGCGAGTAGGTGGAGCGCGCGCGTCCAGTTCCCAGAATTGCCCAGCGCCCGGGCGCCCGAATGGTTCGGCCTGCGCTTCCTGCAGCTCTTGGCCCCCGAGGCGGCCTCGCGGGCGCTCCGCGGGGGCTGTTTGCAGGCTCGCCGAGAAAGAAGACTGAACCGTGCGCAGACGGCCAGCGCCGGTGCTCGTCTCACTCGTGTCTCCTCGTTTTGCTCTCGCCGCATCTGTCCACTGTCCTGTTCTGCTAACCCGATCTCTGTTTCTGCATCCCATCGGTCACTCTGTTGTGCTCTGTGTCCTTATTATGTATGTGTTTCGGTTGTTGTCGTTGGTGATTCTGACCCTCCGATTCTCATTATTGTTTCTTCTGACAATCAGCCTGTCCTTCAATGCCCCGCACTCCGACTGCTCTTCCGTTCCTCAGTGTCCTGCCGCATTTCTCTTGCTGTTGGTCGAAGGGTCCGGCTTGACCAAGGAACACTTACTTTTCAAAAGGGGCTCTGTCGTTCCCTTGGTTTGCATGCATTCCGCCACCTTTTTGGCGGCGAGCCCCCCTTCCTTGAGATTTTGGACGCGCGGGTTCGTTTTGTCGATGAGGGTCGCTAAAAAGGGGCTCGGCCGTTCCTTCGGACTTCGTAGACTTACTTGGAAAAGGGGCATTCGTTCCCTATTTATCGTTCCTTCGGTCAGGCCGCATCCTGTATCAATAGAGCTTGTCGGATCTCAGATACGTCTGAACACTTGTGTTGACGCCGATGTTTGTTCCTCTGAGCTGCCATCTGCTCCCGCTCACCCAGCAGCCGCCGAAAAAGCGCAGGAATTGACGAACCAGATCGCGAAGCACCCGTCGGCGAGCCACGGGTGGTGGTGCCGGTGGTGGGGGGGGGGGAGGCGAGACCTCTCGGCGGCGAGCGAGGGGGGAACGTGAGAAGGGGCGGACCTTCTCAGAAGGCTCGGAAGTCCCCAGGCCTTCTGAGAAGTCTTCTAAGCTTCCCCCGAAGACAACAACTTCTCAGAAGGCGGGGGGGCTTTGAGAAGTCCCGCCGCCTTCTGAGAAGGCCTTCTCCTTCTCATCTCCCCCCCACTGCTCGCCGCTGAACCTCGGGAGGGAGGAGGGAGGAGCGAGAATCCCAGACATTCGAAGGCGAATATAGACCACAAGCATCAGCTCTCGGAGTTCCGCGCGGATCTCTCGGATCGGCTCTGGAGCCCCCCTGGCGGTGCCTCCGGCGCCGCCTCTGGCGCGCTCCGCGCGCCAGGGAGGGGGGGGGCCATTGCCGATCCAAAAACCAGTGTTTTTGTGTTTGTGTTAATGTTGTTTTGGTTTGTGCTCATGTTTTTGCGTTTCTGTTTGCATTGGTTAGTTATTTGTGTGTGTGTGTCTATGTTTATTCAATTCTGTGTTTATGTTTTGGTTTGTGTTTCTGCATTCAAGCTCGTGTTATTGGTGTTTATGCTTTTCTATATGAAAGTTTGTGTTTCTGTTGTTTGTTGGTCCACCACGGTGAGAGGAGCGAGGAGCCCAGGCACCCCGCGTCTTGTCCAAGGCACGGTGGCGGGCTTGTCGTCTTTTTGTCGGCCTCGGGAGGCCCGCGTGGGGCGTCGGGGCCGTCAGGAACGACTCCGAATGAGAAGCCGGCCCCGGTTGGAATCCTATGCCTTCTGTTCTGAGGCAGATGTACAGGAGGGGGTACCCAGGACAGAGTGTTTACACTCTAGGCCTCCTAGATGGGGTCGGAGTAGATAGGGTCGGAGGATCGCGCCGCATCGGCGATGCATCGGCAATGCATCGGCGATGCATCGGCGATGCGGCTCGATGTGGGGCCCGTTTTTCTCCACGCCGACGTCGCGGATGCATCGCTGACGCCCCCAGTGCATGGCCGATGCATCGCCGATGCATCGCCGATGCGCGCGCCTCGACGAAAGCGCGCGCACCCGAATCGCAAGCGAATGGTTATATGCGGGCCGAGGACAGTTGGCATCCCGTCGTCGTCCTCGCCCTTGCTCCGTCCCCCTCTTCCCCCTCCCACTTCACTGGGGCCGCCCCGGTGAAGTGGCGCACGCGTCGACACAATTCGAAGCGCCGTGTGCTTGGGAGGGGGGAGGGCGGATACTTGGACGGGAGGAGGAGGACGAGGTGGGCGAGGACCGACGAGCGAGTGGGTGAGGGCAGGGGGAGGAGGGGAAGGACGCATGAGCAGGGGGCCCAGATGAGGGCTCGAGGATGAGTGAGGATGGATATGGACGGATGAGTGAAGGAGGGAGGCAGGGAGCTGTCGGTCTGTCGGCGAATATCACAGCGGTTTCGTTATCATTCAGGCCTGCCAAATGTGGCCAGAGTAGACGGGGTCGGAGGATCGCGCCGCATCGCCGATGCACCACCGACGTCGGGTTTGCTGGGGGGGGGGGGCGACACATGCGAGAATGTACCTGCGGTCAGGGGACCAGTCCACGTGGATTTCTTCGATCGGCGTTGAGGCAGTGGGATGCGGGGTCCAGCGCCGACCCAAAAAGTCCGCACTGCCCTACTGTTCGAGAGGTCTGAATGCCGCGCGCAAGAGCACCTGGGTGCCGCGATGGGGGTACGTTTCTAAGAAGGTCTAAGAAGGCGGATGGGCTTTTTAGAAATCGGGGAGCTTGAAAGGCCCCAGAGGCTTCCGAGACGGCTTTTTGAGAGCCCGGCGGGCTTCTAGGAATGCCTATCTGCCTTCAAGGAAGCACAAGAGGCTGTCGCACCCCCAGTGGCCCGCTCGCGTCACATTCCGGATGGGGCCTCGCCATTTTTTATGATGCCCCCGTCGGGCGAAACCGAGTCCCGGGCAGAAGGCCGCCACTCCCCGACAGAAGGCCGCCTCCCCCGCGCCACCCCTTTGCGGGCGCCGCAAAGACGCGCCTATGTGTTTCCAGAGGCCCCCTTTTTGGCGGCCCCGCAGGTGCGCAGGCGCCCTCTCCCTCCTCCTCCTCCTCCTCCTTCTCCTCCTCCGCTTCCTCTCCCTTCTCCTCCTCCTCCTACTCCGCCTCCGCCTGCTCCGCCTCCTCCTCCTTCTCCGCCTCCTCCTCCTCCTCCTCCTCCTCCTCCTCCTCCTCCTCCCCCTTCTCCTCCTCCTCCTCCTCCTCCTCCTCCTCCTCCTCCTCCGCCTCCGCCTCCGCCTCCTGCTCCTCCTCCTCCTCCTCCTCCTCCTCCTCCTCCTCCTCCTCCTCCTCCTCCTCCTCCCCCTCCCCCCTCCCTCCTCCTCCTACCTCTCCTCTCCTCCTCCTCCTCCTCCTCCTCCTTCTCCCCTCCTCCTCCTCCTCCTCCTCCTCCTTCTCCTCCTCCTCCTCCTCCCCCTTCTCCTCCTCCTCCTCCTCCTCCTCCTCCTCCTCCTCCTCCTCCGCCTCCTGCTCTCCTGCTCCTCCTGCTCTCCTCCTCCTCCTCCTCCTCCTCCTCCTCCTCCTCCTCCTCCTCCTCCCTCCTCCTCCCCCTCCTCCTCTCCTCCTCTCCTCCTCCTCCTCCTCCTCCTCCTCCTCCTTCTCCCCCCCTCACCCTTCCTCTTCTCCTCCTCCGTAGTCATGTTTGCCGATCGTCCCCTCAGCCCTCCGTCTCCCCCTTCTCCAAGCAGAAGCATCGCGCAGGAGCAGACGAGCACACTGCTTTTCAACAGCCTCCGTGGCGTGCACGTCCTGGTCACGGCTGTCAGTGATCCTCGCGCGGCACGGCGTGCATGTTTTGTCACGGCTCTCAGAGCTTTCGTTTGTTTGTTTGTTTGTTTCTTTGTTTGTTTGTCCGTTTTTTGTTTCGTCATGGTTGCAGAGGTGTCATTTGGTCAGCCAGGGGCCCACGTCATTCGATTCCATGGTGGCCGGAGCTGGCAGGGATCGGGCCCATCAGTACGAGCGTACAGTTGGCGCACGCAAAGGATGGTGGAGGTTGCCCCGATTGATGTCCGTGCCGTTTCTCTGCCGTGTGGTTAATCCTATCGAGCCAGGTTGTGCATGAACAGGCCACGCGCATTCATCTCTGTAGCCTCGAGGTCGGATGGAGTTTGAGTTCGTTTCGGCATTTGCATCAACCCTCATTTCAGTGCCTCGGGGTGTCCGTCACAGCATGTCGAAGGCGTCGCATCTTGACGTCATGCGCTGGCTAGTTCCGTCGAGGCGTTTGGTGCCGCCGTCAAACTTCACGTCGCATTAGTACCGACTCAGGTCTTCGATCGTTGATTTGGGAGACGCCACATTCGGGCACAGAACACTGTAGAATCGCAGGGTGGCCTGACGTGCTGGAGTCGGGCATGGCCGGAGCTGCCTCTCGCGCTGCAGGGGCAGGCCCGCCCCCCAGAAAGCTCGCCGGGTGCTCCCGTGGTGGACGCGCCCCTGCTCGGTGCGACTCGGCATGGGAACAGGAAGAATTTCCTCCTCCTCCCCCTCCTCCTCTCCCTCCTCCTCCTCCCTCATCCTCCCCCTCCTCCTCCTCTCCTCCTCCTCCTCCTCCTCCTCCTCCTCCTCCTCCTCCTCCCCTCTCCCTCCTTCTACGGGAACGAGTGCCGACATCAGTTTCTGCCCTGTCTGGGCATGGCTCGCTGTCGGTGCCGCCGCGGGCGTTGTCCACTCGAGGCCAAGCCTCGCGTGCCCCACAGAGCCAGCCTGCCTCGGCGGCTCGGCGGTCTTCCCTGGCCCGGTTTGCCCGCTCCCCCTCTGCTTCCGATGACGTCTCCGTGCCGCTTCCCTCGTTGCCTCGCCGGCGAGGCCCCGCCCCTTCATCCCCCGCTCCCTCCTCCTCCCCCGCCTCCTTCCTCCCCCGCTCCCTTCTCCGTTCTCCTTCCACCCCCTCCGCCTCTCCTGTCCAATCTCCTCGTTCCTTGCTCCCCCCTCATCCAACTCCTCCCTCCTCCCCCGCTCTCCTCCGCCCCCCCCTCCTCCCTGCTCCGCCTTCGCTCCCACCCTCGGTGGCGAGGGGGACGGACGTGCCCGGCTGGCGTCGCCGTGCTTCCCGCGCGCCGCCCGTGCGGAGGCAGCAGTGCTGGTGGGCTGCCGCGACGTGAAGCGGGCGCGTCCGCGCCCCCGCAGCCGCAGCCGCAGCGGCCCCGGTGCTCTCCGACGGCGGCCCGATGCCGAAGACGGTGACGACGGTGACGATGATGACGATGGCGGTGGTGATGATGATGATGATGATGATGATGATGATGATGATGATGATGAGTCTGATGATGATGATGATGATGACGATGATGATGACGATGATGATGATGATGATGACGATGATGATGATGATGATGATGATGATGATGATGATGATGATGATGATGATGAGTCTGATGCTGATGATGATGATGTTGATGATGAGGATTCCGATGATGATGCTATTCTGGTTATGGCGGTGGTGGCGATGTGGATGACGATCGTGGTGATAAGTATACTTATGATGATGGTTGATGGTGATTACCAGGAGGAGGATGGTGATGGTGATGTTGATGTCGGTGGTATTACGCCGATGCGGGTCCTGATGCTGCTTATGATACGGCTTATGCTGTTGCGGCTGATGACGATGATGATAATGGTGGTGATGGTGATTGCGATGCTGATGTTGATGATGATGATGACGATAACGATGACAATACTGATGCTGATGATGCTGCTGACGATGGTTATCATGAAGATAGCGACCAGCATGACGACCATGTTGCTGATGATGATGCTGATGATGATGTTGCTGATGATTAGGATTAAGTTCATGATGATGATTATGACGATGCTGATTATGAGGTTGACGTCGATGCTGAGTTGATGTTGACGTTCCTGTTGATGTTGATGTTGGTGGTGGTGATAGTGATGCTGATGATGAAGCTGCTGATGCTGATTGTGGTGGTGATGATGCTGCTGATGATGCTGATGATTATGATGATGATGATGATGATGATGATGATGATGATGATGATGATGATGATGCTGATGATGATGATGATGATGATGATGCTGATGATGATGCTGATGATGATGGGTGGCCTCATGATGCCAAGCATATTTATACGGACTACAATGCTACTGCTGATGCTGATGATTACGACGTCGGCGTCCCCGCAGCTTCAGCCGCTCCAGTTTCTTCCTCGTAATTTTCTGTGTTCGTCCCTCCCACCTCCTTCTCCCCCCCACCTCCCTCGTCCCCTCCCCCACACACCTCCACGCCCTCCTCCCGCCTCCTCCCCCCACCTTCTCCCTCGCCCTCTTCCGTGTCCACTCCACACCTCCTGCCTCTCCCACCTCCCTCCCCCCCCACTTCCCCCTTCCTTTCCTGTGTCCGCTTCCCCCCCTCCAACCTCGTACCCCCCCCTCCCACCCTTTCCTCTCCTGTGCCCACTCTGCCCCGCCCCCCCTCGTCCTCTTGTCCTTCCGTCCCCCCCTTTCAACCTCCTCCCACCCCTCCCTCGTCCTCCAACCACCCCTCCTCACTTTCCTTTTCTGCGTCCGCTCACTCTCCCCCCCACCTCGTCCTCTCGTCCTTCCGCCCCGCCCTTCCAACTCCTCCCTCCACTCCCCTCGTCCTCCCCCCCCCTCTCCTCCCCGGCTTTCCTCTCCTCACGTCCGCGCTCCCTCCCCCCCCAAATTCGTCCTCTCGTCCTTCTGCCCCCCCCCCCATGCCCTTCCAGTTCCTCCACCCACCTCCCTCCTCATCCCCTTTCCCCCTTCTCCTCTCCCCCATTCCTTTCCTGCGTCCGCTCCTCACCCCCCAACCTCGCCTCTCGTCCTTCTGCCCCCCCACCTCTTCTACCTCCTCCCCCCGCTTCCCTCGTCCCCCCCCCCTCCTCCACTCCTCTCTTCTCCCTCTCCTGCGTCCCCTCCCTCCCCCCAGAGACAACCTCTTCCTCTCGTTCTTCCGCGCGCCCCCCCTCCGCCTCCTCCCCCTCGCCTCCTTCGCCCCTCCTTTCCCCTCCCGTGCCCGCTTCTGTGTCCGCTCCCGTCCCCCCCCTCCTCGCTCCTCGGAGCAGAGGCCGCCGCGCGCCGGCCCGCGCCTGGGTTCAGGGCGGTGGGAGGGCGCCCGGATTCCCCCCCCTCCCTCTCCCCCCAGGTCTTCGTCCTCCTTCCTTCCTCGTCCTCCTCGTCCTCCTCCTCCTCCTCCTCCTCCTCCTCCTCCTCCCACCTCGTCCTTCCTTATTCCTCTTTCCTCTTTCCTCCTTCCTCCTCCCTCCTCCTTCCTCCTACCTCCTTCCTACTTTCTCCTTCCCTATTCCTCCTTCCTCCTTCAGCCTTCCTCCTTCCTCCTCCTCCTGCCTGCCTGCTCCTCCTCCTCCTCTTCTTCCACCTCCTCCTCCTCCTCCCTCCTCCTCCTCCTCCTCCTCCTCCTCTTCCTCCTCCTCCTCTCCTCCTCCTCCCTCCTCCTCCCCTCCCTCCTCCCTCCTCCCTCCTCCTCCTCCTCCTCCTCCTCCTCCTCCTCCTCCTCCTCCTCCTCCTCCTCCTCCTCCTCCTCCTCCTCCTCCTCCTCCTCCTCCTCCTCCTCTTCCTCATCGTCCTCCTCCTCTTCTCCCTCTCTAGGTCACCCTTTCGGGCGCGAAGATATCTGCGCCTCGCGCATTGCCACCTGGGCCAGAGCGGCCCTGCCTTCTCCAGGGGGGAGCGGCACGAGGGCGCGAGGACGCGAAGATGACCGGGCGACCTGGCCGTCTGGGGCAAGCATCGGTGGAGCCGAATCGGCATCGGCATCGTCTCGGATACAGCCAACCCGCCTAGCAAGGATAGGCAACCTTCCCAGGGGTACCCCTGCATCCCTCCCTCCTCGGCCCATCCTTGGCCGCTCTCGTTGGCCGCGCCCCGCTCGAAGAGCTTCGAAAGGGGCGTCCAAGGCCCTTGCATCCTTACGCCTGCATCCCTGCCTCCTCGGCCCATCCTTGGCCGCTCTCGTTGGCCGCGCCCCGCTTGGAGAGCTTCGAAAGAGGCGGCGGCCAAGGCCCTTGCATCCTCATCGCGCATCCCGATGACACGGGCCGACCGTAGCCGTCTGGGGCAAATCCTGGCTGAGCCGAATCGGCATCGGCATCGCCTCGGAAGGTCCGGGGGGCCAGCTGCCGGCCGATGCTGTTGCCGTCCTCTCGTTCGCCCCCCCCCCCTCCGCGAAGCGAGAGCTCGCAGCGTGTCCCTTCCTCCTCGGGAGGATCGGACTTTGGGCGGGAAGAGTGGGGACGAAGTCGAAGAAGGAGACACGCATGGATGACATGAGCTTTCGGGCCCCCTCGCGCATCTCTCTGATTCGACGCTGGGCCCTCTCCCTGGCGCGCGGAATGCACGTCAGGGGCGGCGGCGGGCGCGCCGCCAGGTGGGGGCCAAGCGCGGATCCCAGAAATTCGAGCGCATCCTTTTGATACGGGCCGACTGTTTTCGTGGAAGCCTTCGAGCGAGTCCCGGGGCCCCCGCTCGGCCTGCCAGCAGGCTCGCGCCGCGCCGCTCTGGGCACAGCCTTCGCGACCCCTCCACGGCCCTGCGCGGGGCTGGGACGCCGCCGGCGGCGTCCCTTTGCCCGATGGGCCTGTTTTCCACCACCATCACCATAAGTCGGATGGGGGCGAGGAGGAGGAGGAGGAGGGCGAGGAGGAGGAGGAGGAGGAGGAGGAGGAAGAGGAGGAAGAGGAGGAGGAGGAGGAGGAGGAGGAGGAGGAGGAGGAGGAGGAGGACCCCCTCCCCCTCCAACTTGTGGTGGTGGTGGTGGTGGTGGTGGTGGTGGTGGGGAACAGGCCCATCATTGCCGGCCGATGTCGGACGCTCTGCACCACTCGGGGTTCCTGTCGATTATTTCAAGCTGCGATCCGATTCGGCTTCGATGGATTCCGAGTCCGCTTCGATTCGGCTCGGGGTTCCGATCCGGGCTCCGATTTCTCATTTGGAGGCTTACTGGTCGCTCCGTTCAGGGTTCATGGCGATGCCTCCGATCCGATTCGATTCGGCTTCGATAGATTCCGAGCCCTGTTCGATTCGGCTTGGGGTTCCGATCCGGGCTCCGATTTCCCATCGGAGGCCCACCAGCCTGCCGATTCCCGCCGAGTCGACGGCTCCCGACTCGGCTGCCGACGCGGTGTTGCCAGCAGTGCCCCTGGCCCAGGGTGCCCCCAGGATTTCCAAGGGTGATGGGCCTGTTTTCCACCACCACCACCATAAGTTGGAGGGGGAGGATGAGGAGGGGGAGGATGAGGAGGAGGAGGACGACGAAGAGGAAGATGAGGAGGAGGAGGAGGAGGAGGAGGAGGAGGAGGAGGAGGAGGAGGACCCCCTCCTCCACCTTGTGGCGGTGGTGGTGGAAAGCAGGCCCATCCAAGGGGGCATCGGCGGCCTCTGGGGCACCCGCCTCGCGAGGCCCAGGGGGGCCCCTAGGGGGCTCCGAAGTGGAGCGAAGAGCTGGGGACCCCTCGGGCCAGGGTTGAGGCGGGCGTGTCCCTCTACAGGAGGAATAATCAAAAATAGTCCAACACTAATCTAGAGACTTTTCTTTGCTTGTTTCTAGTTCCCAACCATCCTTGGTTGGGTATTCGTTTTGAATGGAGCACTGCGGTGTCCAGTTCTCCTCCCGCCTTCTCCTCCCTCCTCCCGTCTCCCGCTCCCCTCTTGTCTCCTCTTGCCTTGCGCGAACCTTGCCATCCCTGGGGGGCTGCGAACTGCGACGCTGTCGCCACTTACGAGGGCTGCTGGTGGGTCCTGCGGAGTGAGGCACCGCTGGGATCTGAGCGAGACCTCGCCGTCCTGGGGGGGCTGCGATCTGCCACACTGTCGCCACTTTCGAGGGCTGCTGGTGGGACCTGCGGAGGCACCGCGGGGATCTGAGCGAGACCTCGCCGTTCCTGGGGGGCTGCGCTCTGCGACGCTGTCGCCACTTTCGAGGGCTGCTGGTGGGTCCTGCTGAGTGAGGCGCCGCGGGGATCTGATCGAGACCTCGCTGTCCCTGGGGGGGCTCTGGAGAGCTGCTGTGGGATACGTTAGGCGCAGCGGGCGCATGGCAAAGCCAATGGGGGTGATTTGGTGAAACAGATCATCTGCCGGGCGATGACCATAACGTTGTGCCTACACGTATCCCGCGGGGGCTCTCAAGAGTTGCTGTGGGATACGTTGGGTGCAACGGGCGCATGGCACAGCCAACGGGGGTGATTTGTTGTCACGTAACCCTTAGATCTTGATCGGGGGCCTTCGAGCCTTCCGATTGCTGCTCGCAAAATCACATGCGTCTATGTTACGTCATCGCCCCCGTTGTAGCAATCCTGACGTACTTATGCCCCGCATTGCGCAAGGGTTGGGTACGTCGCCAGGGTAATTTGTCCTCGAAAGTCGGCCTGAGGGGGACAGGCCCGACTTAAGGCCTGGGGCACCTTTCGCAACCCTCGATCCACTGGACATGATGGGCTTCTTTTCCTCCACCACCACCACAAGTTGGAGGGGGGAAAAGGAGGTGGAGGAAGGAGGAGAAGGAAGAAGAGGGGAGGTTGAGGAGGAGGGCCCCCTCTCGCTCCTACTTCTGGTGGTGGCGGTGGAACACAGGCCCACCAGGACAGCCCCGATCGTTCAAGATCGAACGACCTGCGCGATGTGAGAGGCCAGCGCCGACGTCGTCACGGCACGCCCCAGCCGTACGTGGACCCTTGTGGGCCCATTTCCCTTTTTTCGGCAGGTGCGGCTTCGTCGTTGTCGTGGTGGTCGTGGTACATGTCGCCCTGTTCGATGTCTGCTGATTTTTGCTTGTTCTATGCATGCAGCCACCGCCACCAGCAATCTCCTCTCTCTCTCTCTCTCTCTCCCTCCCCCTCGCCGTCTTCCTTCCCCTCCCTCCGCTGATCCGTCTCCTTATCATCGTTCTTCCATTATTCTCCTCATGCACGTCCTTATGTCTCAGTCTCAGCCTGTGTCCTCAGCATGTCCTGATCCTCCTCCTCATCTTGTTTTCATATTCTTCTAGTATCGTCACCCTTGGTTCGATCTTCTCCTCTGTCCCCATTTCGCCAACTCATCCAGCTCGTTTTCCTCCTCCGCCCTCCCTCTCCACCTCTTCGTAGTCTTCCTGGTCATCATGAATTCCCGCCTGAACCTCCTCCTGCTCCCCGTTTCCTACTTCTGGTCCACCTGCTTTTCCTCCACTATCCCCTCGTCCCCCTAGTCTTCTCAACGAGCACTTCCCCATCTTACTCTTCTTCGTTTGCCTTCTACGTGCTTTTCCATCTTCTTTGTTCTTCGCTGTGTCCTCCTCTACTGCTCCCCCTTCCCTTCCTAGTACATCTCATCCACCTCTTCGTTATCCTCGTCATCTTCCATCTCTTCTTCAACCCCCTCGTCATCTCTCCCTTTCTTGTCTTCCTGCTGTTCAGTCTGCTCCTGCTACCGTTATCTCCCACTCCTCCTCCTCCTCGCCGTCGTCGTCGTCGTCGTCGTCGTCGTCGTCCTCCCCCCCGCCCCCCCGCTTCTCCCGAACCCCGAGCCATGGGAAAGAAGCCGGCCAAGAAGGGAGGCGGCGGCAAGGTCAGGACTTGGGCGTGCGCGGGGCAAAGAAGAGGGCGACCGCATTCGAGAAATTGGTCCCCTTGGAGCCCATTGCACCGTACTGTCGCGCATCAGGGCTCATGCATACGATCTCTCCTATTCAATATCGATGTCTGCCGGCTCGGTCGATTCGATTCCGATAATTTGGCGATCCTGTCTAGCCCGACGCTCGCATTGTGTTGTTGTGCGTCTTAGCGCGACCAGTCGGGTTCGATTTCAACTTTGCGCTGATGCGGCCCAATTCGATGTAACATCCGATATGATCAGATTTCCTGATTCGATGCAGACTGACCTTACCATACAATAGTGCTCTCACGCAAGGTGAGTTGAAGATCGCTCAGGGTGGTGTCTCGATGTGGTGAACAACTCGGCTTCTTCAGTTGGAGGGACGGAGGAACTCCACTCTTGCCTGGAGGGTGGGGCAAAGGGGTTGCGATCGTGCGTAGGGGGGGCGGCCTGGAGCACTCTCGCGTGCTGGTGCTCTCGCGCATTCGACGGTGATCGCAGCCCACCCCCGCCCCGACGTGCCCCACCCAGCCAAAGCATTTCCGTTACACCCCCCTCTCATCGTGGACCGCCCACCTCACGTCACTAGGACCTCACCCCGGTGGGCCCACCATCACGCCCCCCTCAACGTGGACCCGCCCACCTCAACGTGGACCGCCCACCTGGCGCTGGCAACATCTTTCATTGAGCATGTCGTTGCCGCCTTGGCGCTGGCCACAACTCTGATAAAAAATGTTGCGGTCGCCTAGGCGCCCACGACATCCTTCATTGAGCTTCTCGCTTTGGCGCTGGCCGCATGTCAATTGAAACTGTTGCTTCCGCTCAGGCGCCAGCGACATCCTCCATCGAGCATGTCGTTATCGCCTTGCTGCCGGCCACATATCTGATTGATAATAGCTGTCGCTGTCGCCTTGGCGCTCGCCACATCCTTCATTGAGAATGTCGTTCTCGCTGTGGCGCCGGCCACATCTGATGGAACATTGATTTTTTCCTAGGCGCCGGCTGCACGCATGATCGCGATCACGACGGGTTTTTCTGCCTCACCGTTGGCTACATCCGTTATTGCGACCGTTGTGTTGGCCTCAGCCCCGGCCACACCCATGATTGCAAATGCTGCTTTCGCTTTGGCGCAGTGTCGGCAGGGGCGGGTCGGACGGGGCTAGGACGAGGACAAATTCGTTCCCGAGCGCTCAGGGACGCTCTCAGAGCGTTCCGGAACGTTCTGAGAAGGCCGCGGCGCCCGATACATGCTCCAGAACCGCCACAGAGATTCTCGATTTATCCTCATCCGATTTGATCCTCGGCCTGGCTTCGTCTCAGTTAGGAATGTGCCAGGTTAACAGGAGGGGGGGGTCTCGTACCCGCCCGTCCCGCCCCGCCCTTGGGGTGGCGAACACTTTGTAGAACATGCGGTCTCTTGCTCGGACGGCTGCGTTTTTTTTTCCGGCGAGGACATCGACGAGCATCTTGGATCATACGGGGAACGGACGTCCGAGCGATGGCAAGCTTGTGCGCGCCGCCATCTGACCCCAAAGGTGATCACCTTCTGCACCACCAGCGTGCCTTCCAAGGCCAAGGATCGGGCTTGGCGAAAGGGGGGGGGGGCAGGGAAACGGGGGGGTACGACATCTGCTGCATGCAGCCGGTTTCCGCCCCGCCGCCCGGCCCAGTCAGCGATGCATTGGCGCCTCCCAGCTCCAGGAGGCCCCAGGGAAACGGGCTGCGTGAGTTGATTCTCTGCCCTACCCTTTGCTGTCCTACCCTCTCGTCCCCCCCCAAAACAAGGCGCCCTCGAGGGCGCGAAGTTATTCGCGCTTCGCGCTTCGCGGTTCGGCTCCGATTCCTCATCCTCCTCTTCTCCCCTGGGAGGCGGCGCGAGCAGCGCGAAGTGCGAAGTTGGGAGCCCTTGCAAGAGGAGCAGGACGCGGAGGCCGAGGCCGAGGCCGCGGCGGCCGGCGCCCCCGAGGGCGCTGGGGGCGGGCCGGCGTTCGAGCCGCCGCCCAGGGCGGCCGAGGGGAGCGCGGGCGCCGCGGCGGGGGAGGACACGGGCTGGGAGGCCGTGGCGGAGGCGGCGGAGGACCGCCGGGCCCCGCGCTGGCGGGGTCGGACGGCCTGGGTCGACGAAGAGAAAACCACATGCTAACCTGAACTTGTGGCGCTCCGCGCGGGTTTCCTGGATCCGCGCCTGGGCCCCCCGGCGGCGTCTCCGGCGCCGCCCCTGGCGCGCTCCGCGCGCCCGGGAGGCGGGTCCAGCGCAGATACAAGAAATCCGCGCGGAGCCAGGCGCCCTGCTCGATGCAGTGGCGTCTCCGGTGCCGGGAGGCGCTGGGACAGCCGGCGGCGTGCGCTGAGAGCCGCTCGATTGCAGGTAATTAAGAGTGACCAACCGCCGGAGTCCAGGAGGGGGCAAAACACGCAGTCACAATTAGTCGTCGATCCCCGTGAAAATCTTCGAAACTATGGGACGGGGGGGGGGGAAGACGAGAATCCAAAACACATGGAGCAGTGTGGGGAATCCTGGGCGTTGCGTGTATTTATCAGTGTCTCCCTGTGCCCCTTCAAGAGGGACCTTTTTCGGTGCGGGCTCGCTGGAGCCCCCCCTTTGCGGGTCCAGGTCCGTCGGTTTCGGTCCCGGGACGGTCCCAGGCCGTTTTCACTGAGGGGAGGTTTACTGAAAGGAGGCTTGTCCACCGCCGATGACAGCGTTCAGCGCCAGCGGGGGTCCGCCAATCCCCTCCGACTTTCTTCTGGCTGGCTCTGGTTTGGGAGCCGCGTGCCGAGGAAGGAGAGCGGCGTAGGCGTACACTTCTGGGGGTCTGCGCGGACCGCCGACATCATCCGCTCGTGCACGCTGCTGTTCCTGCAACATGGGGTTGGACCTTAGTGGGCCCCAGAAACGGCAGGGCCGGAAAAAAAACGGCCCTGTCGTTTCCAGGGCCCACTAGGGGTTGGACCCCCTCCCCGGCCTCCGCTGACTCGAGTTTTGGAGCCGACTCGTGCCCCCTCCCCCTTCCCTGCTCGCGACAGGGCCCTGGATGACCCGGGCGAGTCCGGCGGTGTGCCTCCACCGAGGGAAGCTGATCCCGATCTCTGTGATGGTGGTCATGTTCGGGCATCTCGGTATCCAAGGTGGCCGAGCTTACCTAGATCGTCTTCCCGCGGTGGAGGCAACCCTCTGTGTTGGCGTTGGTGCCCATTTCCGATTCTCCACTTCTTGCGCATTCCGGAGATTGCGCAGACCCCGAGATCGGGTGGGGATGACCGAAATGAGGACGGAACGGATTGGGGAGCAGACCAGTTCCGTGTCCGTGACATCGGTGCATGCTGGGCAGGATTCGCGGTCGGCGTCTCCGCGGATGGCGCACGCCTGGCGCAGACTTCGCCTGCTCCCGGCAGTCCCGGCAGCGGCTGCCGCTGGCTTTGGACAGCGTTCGCTCATTGGCCCTGGCATCGCCCGGACGTGTGCATGTTTTCTCGGCGAGGACCCTGGAGGACCATCCTGGATCATCGAGCAAAACAAAAACACGCACGAAACCGAAACATTCATGGAAAATGGACGTCCGAGCGACGGCAAGTGGTAGCTTCCTGGATGGTTACATCCCCCCTTTCGGGCGTTCCAGTCGGGTGCTGGCAGACCCCCGACCTCCCACGGTCCCCAGACCTCCAGAGGGCGAGGAGAAGCGAGGCGGAATATTCCAGGAGGGAGAGAAATACACACAGACACAATGAATCGTCGACTTCCTAGAAAATAGAGGAAACTATGGGAAGTGGGGGGGGGAAGACAAAAACCCAGAAAACATGGGAAATATAGGGAATCTGGTTATTTGTGTCTATTTATTTGTGTGTCCAAGGGCCCCTTCAATATTGTCTGAAGAGGGGTTGGCGGTGGGTCTGGATGCCGTGTTCGGGCTGTGGTGGCCGTCGAGGGGCGACTCCAGATGGAAAGCCGTCCCTGGGAAAGGGTCAGGATTTCCGAGGGCCCCCGTGTGGAGCAAGTCAAGACGTTGGGTCTCTGGGGTGGGGTCTGAGGACCTGTGCCGCCTCGCTGCTGCATCGTCGATGCGGCGCTATCTGGAGCTGGATTTCCTCCATCCCGGCGATCGCCGATGCCTTGCCTGAGATCCTCTATCCCGTATCGAACCAAGCGAGACATCGAACCTTTGGGACATCGCCGTGGCTCGCTCGGCCCCAGCGTCTCGAGGCTCCACCTTTTGTCGGCCTCTTTCTGCCGCCCTCCGGGCCCCGTGGCCATTTCTGCCCAGAGTTGGAAGCCGGCTTCCCTGGGGAGGGGGCCAGGATGCCCGGGCCAGGCAGGCCTGTAGGATGAGGAGAATCCGCCCCAGAGTGTGGCGGACCGCTCTCGGAGCGCTCCCGAGCGCTCCAGGACGGCCGCGGCGCCCGATGCCTCCTCTTGACCTGCCCGCTCTCGGAGATTCCAGGGTTCTCATCGCTCAGATTCGTTCTCCTCGTCCTCCTCCTCCTCCTCCTCCTCCTCCTCCTCCTCCTCCTCCTCCTCCTCCTCCTACCCCTCCTCCTCCTCCCCTCCTGCCGGTGGCCAACGTCACGAAAAGCTCGATCCGTCGGAGCTTCGGGACGTGCCCCAGTGTCCCCCGGGTGCCCCCCTGGCCTTTGGCCGACTCTGGGCGCCAGACCCGGAGCCTCCTGGGGCTCGCGGAGTTCGACAGGGGTGCTGCGGAAGGTGTCCCTGGCCCAGGGCGTCTCCCGCTTGTCGCTCCACTTGGAAGCTCCTGGGGCCCTCTGGGCCTCGTGAGGGGTGCTCTGGAGGCCGCGGGGGCCTCCGCGGAATCCTGGAGTCACCGAGCGCGCCCCACCACTCGCAAAGTGCCTGCTCGCAAACGTCAACAAGAGTGTTGTCCTCTTGTGTATTTGACCGTGCATCCCCCGCGGCGGACCCAGGCCATTTGCGAGTATTGATTTTGCGAGTAGTGGAACGCGCTTGCCTATGGAGACGCATTAGGCCATGGACTCTTCTGGCGACACCCGGCTCGAACAGGCCCCAGGCATCGCCAACGTCTGGAAAGTTTTGCTCCGCTTTCGGCCTCCTCGGGGCCCTCACGGGGCCCCGCACACGCAGGACGCCGCGCCTAGACGGCGCATCTGCAGAACGTGCAACAGCAGGAAGGCACACCTGTTGGACATGCATGACGACAAAATACGAGCGCCGATCCATTACAGCGCCTGCGCGCACAGACGCCATATCCAATGACCCAGCACAGCGCGAGGGTAAGCTGAACAACTCCGAGAGAGAGAGAGAGAGAGACAGAGAGAGGGAGGAGGAGGGGCAGGAGGAAGGAAGACCCTGGGACCTCCCAAGCTGGCTCAGTAAGATAGGCAGGCCCTGGGGGAATAGTCGGGACTTCAGTGGACCTCGTACCGAACAAGTCAGGGCAGAGGGTCTCTGGGGTGGGTAGGATCGTTTCGCGTCGCTGAAACATCGTCGCGTCGCTTGATTTTCTCCATCTTGGCGATCGCCGATGCATCGACGACGCAGTGCGATCTTCCGACTCACTTGTTCGCCTACGATGTAGACACATCGCGCCAGAGCGTGATGGAAAGTTGTCGAAACATTATGGTGCCCTCTGAAACGGCACCGGCGCCCGAGACGTGAGATTTCCCGATCAGTGCCGACCATTGGCGCTTCCTTCAGGACAGGAAGGGACCAACGGCTGAATGTGCCTTGTTTGAGGACCCTGGCCCTTCGGGCAGGGCCCACTTCGATCCAATCGATTTGATTCGATGTTGATTCCGGCCGGCCCGCTCCGATTCGATTCCGATGTTCTGCCGACCCGATGCGGCCCGATGTTTGCATGGCGCTGGTGTGCATCCTGGCGCAGCCGATCCGATTCGATTCCGACTCCGTGCCTATGCAGCCCGACCCGATGCACGCTGCGGTTGGATCTGATTTCCCGCTTTGATGCTGACTGATCCTGTCTTAGGGCCCCATCGCTCAGGGCCCCGTCTTGAGAGTGTTTTACTTGCCCTATGGGCTTTAACGCGCGTTATCCCCCCCTTCACCCCCACCCACCACCCCAACACGTAACGTTCCCCACCTCCAGTATGTCCTTGGCACTGCCGCAGTGCGTCTGGCACCAGCCTGTCACGGTGGGGAGCGGGGGCGTTACGTTATGCCCCCTCACCGCCCACTCCGCCCCCCCATAACGCCCGTTCAGGGTCTCGAGCTTCACGGTGTCGTGGCGATTTCGTGGGCCGCTTCCGTTTGGACTTCGTTCTGCACCAAAGGCACCACGAAGACAGGACCGAGGAAAACGAGACCAAAGCGAGCACGCCATCGCCGCGCATCAAGGAAGGGTCTCCTCGGAATCGCCGGGACGGCGCCCGCCAGGACGGGGCCGACGTGGCCGAGCTGCTCGGGATGGGGGCCGCCGCGTCTGCGCCGGCTGCGCCGTCCGCGAGCCAGGCTGAGGGCGGCGCCTCGAAGGAGTCCGTCGAGGAGGAGGTGGTGCTCGGCAGCAAGTTTAAGTCGTGCCTGTCCCTCTGCAGGGGGAATACTCAAGAATAGTCCAAGAATAGTCTGGGGACGTACATTTTTGGGGTATTTTGAATTCTTCGCCCAAGATCCCCCTGTAGGGGGACATGCCCGACCTAAAGCAAGTCGTGCGAGGGCATCCTGCAGCGGGGGCGCGCACCGCGAGCCCCCGAGAGCAGGAAGAGGAGCCATCGCCACCGGGACTCCAGAGCAGGGCTGGACCTAAGCGCTGCTTTGCTGGGCTTCGGCCGTGTTCTGTTTGTGGTTTTGGCAGGGAGGGGCAGGAAAGCAGGGGCAAAACGAAAAACGATACGAAAACGAAACGAAGAAAAACGTCTAGGTCCAGCCCTGCTCCAGAGAGAGCTCCCTTCCCAAAAGGCCACCCCTCCGAGCTGGTGGCACTCCGCGCCGGGCACTCCCATGTGGGCGCGTCCGGGACGGAACGGGGTGCCACCAGCTGCCGGTGGGGGGGGGGGGAGCGGCCAGGCCCGCTGGCTGGTGGTGGTGGTGGTTCTTCCTTTGCTCGCGAGAAGCCCTATGCGCGCTGGTGCTTGCTCTTCCTTTGGGCTGGGAGCCCTGGGTTTCATTGTTTCCAACGATGCGCGCTGACGTCTCCTGATCGCTGAGGAGCTGCTGCGCCGAGGGTAAAAAGGGCTTCTCCGACTGGATCCCTTGGACAAGACATGCAGGGCCTGGGCAAGAGACCTTCTTGCCCAGTCAGGGCTGGGGGTCTTGCGAGGGTTTCTTGCGGTCGCGCCCCCTCTATAACGTGCGCTGGCGTGTGGTGATCGATGAGGAGGCGCCGATTTAGCTCTGATTAGGCTCGATAAGCGTCGATTAGTGTCGGCTAGCGTCGATTCGCAAGAGCCAGCAGGATGGCATGGGAGGATTCCATGAGTTGCCACCGAAGGTGGCGCGCAGGGTCCGCGAGGAGTTCGAGCGCGAGGAGAAGCGGGAGGCGGGTCCCTCGAACTGCGCACGGATGCTCAAAGCGTCCGCGAACCGCGTCAGGGAGAGCGCGACAGGCAATCGGCGACTACAACATTTGTGGTTTCGTTGGGGTATGGTTACGTTGGGGTGTGGTTTGCGATCGGCGCCGTCGGGGCCTGGGGGGCACGACAGTGTCCTCGTGGGACCTCCTCGGGGTGCGGCGGACAGCTCTATATATCGAGCCCCCGGGGTGCTGGTTGCAAACCACACCCTCTGCAAGCCACACCCTTCGGGCTCGCCGAGGCAAGATCGCGCTTCCGGCGCCGCTGGAGGCCAAGATCCTCGACCTGATGCAGTCCGACAGCGCCTCCGAGGCGGCGACCGAGGACTGTGTGCGGCCGCTGTCGGAGCCGATCTTCTTCGACGGCGAGCAGCTGCGCGTGTTCAGCATGCTGAGATACCCGCCCACCTACCGGCTGAAGGTGAACTCGGCGACGAGGTGATGGGCTTGTTTTCCACCACCACCACCATAAGTTGGAGGGGGAGGGGGTCCTCCTCCTCCTCCTCCTCCTCGTCCTCCTCCTCTCCGTCCTCCTCCTCCTCGTCCTCTACCTCCTTCCCCCCTCCAACTCGTGGTGCCGGCGGTGGAAGACAGGCCCACCACCAGGGCCTACGATCGGCTCTACGAGTCGCACAAGCTGCTCGAGTCCCACGGCTTCGCGCCCGAGCACGTCCGGGCCGCCCTCGAGGCCACCCTGGGCCTGGACCTCCGGGCGGCGCTCGAGTGGCTGGTGCTGACGCTGCCGCCGGGCGCGGTGCCCACCCCGCTGGGAGGCGAGGGGGGCGAGGCGCGGCCCCCACCGCGGCAATGAGTGGCCCCTCAGAAGGAGGAGGAGGAGGAGGAGGAGGAGGAGGAGGAGGAAGAGGAGGAGGAGGAGGAGGAGGATTGCAGGGACCCTCGGTCGTGAATTCATGCCGGAGGTGGATATACCTCCTGCCCTGACACGTCGATTAGTGAATTGTCCGTTTTCGGTTCTCGTGTGGGCGCCGCGGCCGTTATTTTCCAGGCCTGCGCCCGCCAGGTTTGGGCCCGAAGTCGTTTCCACCAAACCACATTTTACTACAGGGAGGTCTGTCCATCCCCGATCATGGGGGGCGACGGCATGGGGCAGCGAGATGCGGGTAAGGCTTATATGTGCACATCCAGTGCGCCCTGGACTTTCCCGGAGGGGGCGCCACGAGGCCGAGGCGCAGCGCATGCGGTCGAAGATCGAGCCCCTGGGGGGCAGATGCGTCCATATCCAGTGCGCCTCGGGCTGGTGGGGAAGGAGCCCGAAACTTCCTTGCTCGCACGAGGGCTGCAACAAAGGGACCCTTTGGGGCCCCACCCCAGAAGGGGGCCTTCGGGGCCCGAGAAGGGCTCCTTTCCACCCCCCCCCCGTCTCTCCATAATCGCCCCCCAGTGACTCGCGCCCAGTCCCCAGGCTGCGTGGGTCTTCCAAGGGAGCCTCAGAGGACCCCCTACATTCCTTGCGGTCTGGTTGGATTTCGCTTGGATTTCGCCGGATTTGGTGAAGGCGGAGGAGGAGGTGGGCGATGAGAACTGGAGGAGGAATAGGAGGATTGCCGCTGCACCCTCTGCCCCAGGTCATGGAAGTCCCTTCTGCAGCTGCGGAGACCCGCGAGCTGCAGGCACCAGCGAGGACAGGTGCATGTAGCCTGCAGGGCGGACACTGCAGGCTGGACAAACGAGCGCGCCGCACGGTGCGGAAGAAAATGGCAACGCTGGCGCGCGAGGGCCTAATCACGCAGGCAGAGGCCCGAAAACAGGCACGGCAGGACGCCCAACATGGCGACACAACCGAGCTCCCGTCATCTCTCCTCAGCCTGATCCAGACGACAGCCCCTCGGCGATCGCCTTCTCAGCGAGAGAAGCCTCCCCCGAGCGGAGCCCAGCCCGAACACTTGCAAGCGACGCCGAAGAGGAGGCAGAGGAGGAAGTATGTGGGGGTCCCAGCACAACAGAGTCCTCGAAAGGAGTGTGCAGGGGGGCCAGGTACGCACAGGATGCGCGGGCGACGGGCGCTGCACGGATCGCAGGGCCCCGCGAAACAACACTGGCCACTCCAGCGCTGCTCAGCGAAGCGGCGCTAGGGGGGCTGACAGACTGATGTGGACGGGGCGGTAAGGCGCCTCGGGCCACCAAGTCCCTTCCGACGACCACGATCGACCAACGACACTCCGACGACAACCACCGCCCCCTCGAGTTGAGCAGTGCTGCACTCCGTAGCAAGGGGAGCACCTGCCCTATCGTGCGCAGGCCTAGCAGCAGTCACGGAGGAGGAGGAGGAGGAGGAGGAGGAGGAGGAGGAGGAGGAGGAGGAGGAGGAGGAGGAGTAGGGCGTTTCAAAGATACGGGCCACAGCGAGTGCTCTCGCATCCAGCCAGGCTTCCTGCTTGGGATGCTTACCCGCCTTAATGCGCTGCCAGTAATAGCGACCTGACTTCGCGCAACTGGGCTTACCGAGACATTTTCGTTGGAGGTTGCGGACATACCCTCCCGACGCAAACGATTTACAGGCAGTACACACCACCAGCCTGCTGCCGTCAGAGACTTCCAACGACAAACAAGTGTGCCCCAGTTTCTGGAGCTGGCTCCCTAGAAGCTTATGGGTCTGTGGGCACTCGCTATTAGATGGCTACACAGACCGAGTCGCCCTCAAACACTGCTTACACTGCCAGTATGACTCGCGCCATGCCCACGCATGGCGTTCTCGCACCCTCGGCGGCGGGCGGGGAGCAGGCTTATCGCGCGTGGCCCCAGACAGGTCACACGGTGGCCAGGCAGGCAGAACGCGGGCAGCCAGCACGCACACTTTGCGGCACACAGCAATGGCTCGCTGGAGCCGAGCTTCGTGCTCGTCGCTGGGCCGCTCATGGGCCAGGGCGCCGAGTTTAGCACAATGATCAGCCACATCGTTACCAGACTTGCACCATGCCAGGTGCGGGTCCTGGGAGGCAGCCTCCTCTGTCATGAGGAGGAGGGGGAGGAGGAGGGGAGGAGGAGGAGGAGGAGGAGGACGAGGAGGAGGAGGAGGAGGAGGAGGAGGAGGAGGAGGAGGAGGATCGAGGATCGAGGATCGGCATCTGAACGAAATCTAGACGAAGGGTGAAGGGGGGTGGTCGAAACCTGGACGAAATCCGGTCGAAATTACGCTCATGATAGGGCCGCGGAGTTCCGCGGAGGCTACCACAAAGGCTCGCACTGGTTGGCGCGCTCGGACGGGACAAGGATGAGGATAAATCCGTATCAGTGCGCTCCAGACCAAGTCGCGCTCAGAGCGTTCCAGAAGGCTCTGAGAAGACCGCGGCGCCCGAGACATCCTCCAGAGCCGCGGGATCTCAGAGACTCTTTCGACATATCCCCACCCGAACCCAGACATGCGACGGCAGGTTTTTCCCGACCATCCTGTGGTGTTGGGTCCTCGTTTTGAGGAGAGCGCCCCGCGTTCCTCTCCTCCCCTCCTCCTCCCCCTCCTCCCGCTCCTCGCATTCCTTGCACGCCTCTCACGCTTCGTGGCTCCACAGGGAGCTCCACTGAAGGCCCCAGTGGCAGGGTTCGCAATCACAACAGGAGGTTTCTTGCTACTTTCGGCTTCTGAGGGCCCTTGCCAGGCCGCGGGACCGTCAAACAACGATTCAGGATGAAAAGCCGGCCCCGGGGAACGGGTCGATACCTCGGGGGGTCGACGTTTCGAACAAATCATGACGTCGGGGGTCTGGGTAGGGGGAGGGCGGGAGGTTTCTTAAAAGCACTCCCGTTTCGTAGAAGGCGCCAGCCTCGTCTGTAGATGTAGGGCCAGCGCCTTCTGAGAATTGGCCTCCTTTAAGAAGCCTTCCTCCCTCCCCCTACCCCCTGGTGCGCGCCACGAATCTTGCCTGTGGCCGGAGAGGCCATCAAGCTGTACGAGGGCGGCAAGTCCAAGAAGCCTTCGAAGGTCGAAGAAGAGAGCGCTGCATCGCCATGAACTTTCCGAGCTCCGCGCCGATTTTTTTGGGTATGCGCTGGGCCCCCTGTCGGCGCCTCCCTCCTCCTCCTCCTCCTCCTACTCCTCCTCCTCCCCCTCCTCCTCCTCCTCCCCCTCCTCCCCTGAGCCTCTGGCGCCGCCCCTGCGCGCCAAGGGCGGGGGCTCGGGGCCCCCCCGAGCGGGTGTGGTGACCACACCGCGTGGTGAGTCCATGGGGACTAGGGGTGCCGCGCGGCTTTGATGCTCGGGCCATTCTCCGAGGACGCCTCGGGCGACCGGGGCCTGGAGGGCCCCGAAACCGTGTGGTGACGGACCGCGCGATGGGGTCGTGGGGGATTCCAAGGCCACCACTCGAAGAAGAGTAACCGGCATAAACAGAAGTTTTTGGCGCTCCGCGCGGATTTCTCGCATCCGCGCTGGGCCCCCCAGCGGCGCCTCCGGCTCCGCCCCTGGCGCACCAGGGCGCCAGGGAGGGGGTCCAGCGCAGATCCAAGAAATCCGCGCGGAGCTGTTCGTGTCGTTATTTCTTCTTCTAGGACCGCGCGGTGAGGATGTTGGTTGGGGATTCCGAAGTCACCACGCGCACCGTCACCACACGGTTTCGGGGCCCCCGAGCGGGATCCGCGCGGAGCTCGGCCAGTTCACGTCTATGCTCGCTCTCTCCTCTGGAATCGGCGGCGGCCCGGGGGGGGGGGGGGAAGGGAAGGTGAGCAAAGGCCAGCCGTCTCAGAAGGCTCGGAAGGCCTCGGGCCATCTGCTGGGTTTTTCCAGAGCCCTCCGCGGAGGCACGGAAAGCTTCCAAGCAGGCCAGAGGGCTTCCGAGAAGCCCCGCCGTCTCTCCTGAGGAGGCCTGCTTCGGACGGGGTCAGGGCGAGGACAAATCCAGGGCGAGGCTCAATCCAGGGCCAGGGCGAGGATCAATCCAGGGCGAGGATCAATCCGTTCAGAGCGTTCCAAAACGCTCTCAGAGCGTCCTGGAACGCCCTGAGAAGGCCGCGGCGCCCGAGGCATCCTCCAGAGCCGCGGGACCTCAGAGATCCTCGCTTTAAGTTCACTCGAGTTGATCCTCGTCCTGGCTCCGTCTTATTCCAGACATGCGATGTCCTGATTTTTCAGTATTACGGGGTCCCTGGAAGTCCTGACCCTTTCCCCACGGCCGTTGGTTCATCCCGAGCCGTTTTTGTTGACGGTCCCGAGGCCCAGAATAAGGGCCCCCAGAGGCCGACAAATAGAACACACTTACCCGCCCTGATTTGTTCAGGACGAGAGCTTCATCTTGCAGTCAACCCGCGTAGGAAGGATGGGCAACTCTCCCAGGGGCGCCCTGACGTTCTTGCCTCCTCGGCCCATCCTTGGCTGCCTGCGCTGGCCGCGCCCCGCTCGAAGAGCTTCAACGTGGCCCTCCATGGCCTTCCAAGGCCCTCGCATCCTTACTTACCGCGCATCCTTACTCTTCGGGCTGACCGTACTGCTCCTCCGTACTTTGCCTCATGATGTTCCAACCTACTTTGACCACCAGAAATAATTTCGAGCACCAGAACAAACAAGTACCGAAACTCGAGGGTTTTCACGCGTCGGGCCCCGGGAGACGCTCGTCCGACACCGTTCCGACACTGTTCTCGACACTCCTTCGACACTTTTTTTCTGGGTGCTCGAAAGTCTTTCTGGGATGTGGCCCTTCAACTTTGCCCCCTCCTCGGGCGCGCCGCCGGTGGAAGGCCGCCGCCGGCAGGTCGGGAGCCTTGAGACGGGGGTCAATGCAGACGGGGGTCAGCCAGGGCGCCCGATCTTGCAGGATCCTGCAGGGCCAGGGTCGCACTGACCCTGGTGTGGGCGCAGGACCCTGCAGGATCTCGCGGGATCCTTCACGTTGACCCGGGCGTGGGTGCAGGATCTTGCAGGATCTTGCAGGATTCTGCGAGGCCTGACTGACCCGGATCTGGACTGACCCGGGTCAGAAGATCCCCGCTGCAGGGGGGGCGGCGGGCGGCCGCCCCGGGAGCCCGCCGCGGCCGCGGCCGCCGGGGGCGGGGCGGCGGAGCCGGAGGCCGTCGCGGGCGCGCCGGCCGAGGGCGCGGAGGTCGGGGCGCGCTCCAAGCCTGCGGGAGGGGGTCGGGGGAGGAGGAGGAGGAGGGGGAGGAGGGGAAGGGGGAAGGGGGGGAGGAGGAGGAGGAGGAGGAGGAGGAGGAGGAGGAGGAGAGGAGGAGGAGGAGGAGGAGGAGGAGGAGGAGGAGGAGGAGGAGGAGGAGGAGGAGGAGGAGGAGGAGGAGGAGGAGGAGGAGGAGGAGGAGGAGGAGGAGGAGGAGGAGGAGGAGGAGGAGGAGGAGGAGGAGGAGGAGGAGGAGGAGGGAGGAGGAGGAGGAGGAGGAGGAGGAGGGAGGAGGAGGAGGAGGAGGAGGAGGAGGAGGAGGAGGAGGAGAGGAGGAGGAGGAGGAGGAGGACGGGAGGAGGAGGGAACAACACAAGTGACTGCTGCGCAGCGCCTGCACAATCACCACGTTTTTTTATCCCGGGTGCGAGGTCTGGGGGGTTCCCGTGAGCACCTCGTCTGCCGCGCGCGCCCCTTGCCGCCTGCTCATGAGGCGGCCACCCGGGCCGACATGCTTGAGGAGGAGGAGGAGGAGGAGGAGGAGGAGGAGGAGGAGGAGGAGGAGGAGGAGGAGGGCCACCCGGAGGAGGAGGAGGAGGAGGAGGAGGAGGAGGAGGAGGAGGAGGAGGAGGAGGAGGAGGAGGAGGAGGAGAGGAGGAGGAGGAGGAGGCGGATGATGAGGAGGAGGACGAGGAGGGGGAGGAGGAGGAGGAGGCCTCGGCGGAGGAGGAGGAGGAGGCGGAGGAGGAGGAGGAGGCGGAGGAGGCGGGGGAGGATTGCTCCATTGCTGGACATGCCCCCTCTTCTGAACAGGCCTCCTCTGCTACACGGGTACCCAGACCACTGCCCCTCGCCCGTTTTCCCCTTTTTGGGCCTCTTGGGAGGCCCTCGCCGCAACCGCTGGATTCGCCTCGGAATTCTGGTTAGGACGCAGCCCGGGAGAGGTCCGGGGAGTGGCGGTATGGGTGCCTTCTGGTTTCTACCTATTGGCTGCCGTATGTAGAGGAAGCAAACATGAGGCCATAAACATACACCTTTGGCACTCCGCGCGGACTTCTTGGATCCGCGCCTGGCCCCCCTGGAAGCGCCTCCAGCGCCGCCCCTGGCGCGCTCCGCGCGCCAGGGAGGGGGGTCTAGCGCAGATACAAGAAATCCGCGCGGAGCGCCAAACGTTAATGCTTATGCCGTTTTTTGTTTTTCTAACGCTGTAGGTTGGCGCCGTGTCGATTGGCGGCGACCCCGCCGCGGGCGTTCCACGTTGAATGCCGGCGGCGCCCCAGGATGGGTTGATGTTGAACGATCGGACGGTTCGGAGACGGCCGATCTTTCAAGCTTGAACGATCCCCGCGGTGTCAGAAACCGACGCCGAAGTCGGCTCGACACGAACCTGCCATAGGGTCATGCTGCCCCCATCGTATTTGAAAGGACTACATGCCAGAACTAATTTCGAGCACCGAGAAAAGTATCGACACAGTGTCGAACGAGTATCGTATCGCTTCCCAGGGCCCGACGCGTGAAAACCCTCAAGCTTCGGTACTTTCTTGGTACTCGAAATTCTTTCCGACGATCAAGACTTATGTCGGGCCTGTCCCTATACAGGAGGAGTATTCCCAAATAGTAACAAACAGTCTGGGGACGATTTTGTGAGTATCTTCTAACTAATTCTTCACGCTTCGCGTATCCCCACCACCCCATCTCACAACAGCAACTCTAGCGAAGCATGCCGACAGTCGTGTTTTTCAGGCGTGTTTCCGCCTGCCCCCGCATATCTCCCCTGTTCCTCCTTCCTCCCGCCTCCTTGTACATCCTCCTTGTGGTGGGAGCGGGAGAAGGACGAGGCGGAGGAGGAGGGAGAGAAAGCGCTCCTCGTGGTTTGAGTCGTTCGGGCTTCTCGTCCTGGTGTGAGTCGTTCGGGCCCTTCTTCCTGGTGTGAGTCGTTCGGGCTCTTCGTGGTGTGAGTCGTTCGGGCTCTTCGTCCTGGTGTGAGTCGTTCGGGCTTCTCGTGGTGTGAGTTGTTCGGGCCCCTCGTCCTGGTGTGAGTCGTTCGGGCCCCTCCTCCGGCCCGTCCAGAAACGACGCCCAGGCGAGTAGAGGGTCGTCCTGATGGGCTTTTCGGCGTCTTGGGTGCCTCGGGGGGGCCTCTTTGGGCCGTTTGGGATCCTCTTGGGGGCCTCCTGGGGGCCTCTTGGGGCCATCTTGGGGCCTCTTGGTGCCTCCTGGGCGCTTCTTGGGGCCATCTTGGAGGAAATCGATCAAAGAAGAGGGGAGCTTTAATTAGCGCTGCCCCCTCAGAAGGCCAAAATGGGGCCAAAACCTTAGTAAAATCAATGATTTTGGCTTGAAAGAAGAGGGGAGCTTTAATGAGCGCTGCCCCCTCAGAAGGCCAAAGTGGGGCCAAAACCGTAGTAAAATCAATGATTTTGGCTTCAAAGAAGAGGGGAGCATTTTTCTGCCTCCCCCCGTCGGGGCCAGAATCCTCGTGAGGGGTGTCGAATTTTAGCCCTCCCAGGAGTCGAAAAAGACCCCTCCAACCACCCGCGGCGCCCTCTCCAGGCCCAGGGGGAGGGGGTATGGGGGAGGGGTAAACCACGCCCAAAGGGCTGGTGGGATTTTGAGGATTTTTGGGGGTATGTTTGATTCTTCGTCCAAAATCTCCCTGTAGGGGGACATGCCCGACCCAAATCAAGGCTGAAGTAGAAGTTCGAACACCATAACCTTGAGTCGGGCCTGTCCCTCTACAGGGGGAATATTGAAAAATAGTAGACAAACAGTCAGGGGACGATTTTTTGATGATTTTGTAGCCATTTTGGGGCATGTTCTGACTACTTTTTATTTTTCGTCCAGAATCCCCCTGTCGGGGGATACGCCTGACTTAACCATAACCGCAGGGGGGGGGCTTCCTGGAAGCACCCCGGGCGCCTCTCCTCATGTCCTGGGCCTCCCGGGAGGCGTCTCGCGGGCGCCACGGCGGGATCTCCGCCCGTTGGGCACGGGCACGGGGCCAGGCTGGGCCCCTCCCGCGGGGGGTCCCACGGGGGCCGACTGCTGAGCGGACGAGGCCGGGCGGCACGCGCGCTGGCAGGGGCCTCCTCTCGAGCAGTGGCGACGAAGCGTCCTGGCGGGTCTATGCTTCCAATCCCTTACTCATCGACCCCCCTCTAAAAACCGGACCCCCCTCCAAATGCGACCGAATATTCCGGACCCCCTCTTCAACGGGGCGCCTTGATAAACCGGACTCCTAAGCTCCAATCCTTAGAAAGCGCTCTAATAAACAGGACCCCCCCAGTTACAAAAAAGGCGCCATAAAAACCGGACCCGGGGGACACTTAGTAAGGGATTTGGAATAGGCCTACCAAAGAGTGTTCTAAGAGCCTTTTGGTGTTTCTACGACATGTTCTTTAGAACATTTCTGGCTGGAGCTGTCTTGTTTTAACACGTCGGGGTTATATTCTAAGAACATTGTTTGTGTTCTTAGAAGAGTTTGGAGTTCTAAGGACATGTCGTGGTAGGCGTACAGGAGTGCGGGGACGCTCGGTCCCTGCTCGACTCTCGAGCTCTCGTCGGGCCTGCGCAGTTTCCACAAGCAAGGGCGCCCTCGAGGGCGCGAAAAGTTCTTCGCGCCTCGCGCCTCGCGCTCCGCGCTCCGCGGTGCGGCTCCGATGCCTCCTCGTCCTCCTCTTGTCCCACCCCCTGGGAGGCGGCGCGGGAGCGCGAAGTTGTACTATGTTCGCACGGCGCGCCTCGCGCGGCGCGCAGCGCGGAGTTGGGGAGCCCCTGGGCCTGTGCAGTGTCCACAGAGGCAGGAACGCAGTGGAGCACAGGAGGGCGTGCAGGCAGCTACGGAGCTCGGACATTCAAGCAGTGGCGAAGCGTCCTGGCGTGCCTATAGTCCTACCAAACAATGCTCTAAGAGCCTGTTGGTGTTCCCACGAAATGTTATTAGAACATTTCTGGCTGGGACTGTCTTGTTTTATCACATCGGGTGTATGTTCTAAGAACATTGTTTTTGTTCTTCGAGCATTTTTGGTTTCTAAGAACATTTCGTGGTAGGACTACAGGAATGCCGGGACGGTCGGTCCCTGCTCAAGACATGCAGATGCAAGGTGCCCCGATCCGCCGTGGTCTACACCGCCTTTCTTCCGAGTGAAGGGGGGTCGGCCGCCCGCCCACGGGGGGGTTCAGCCACGCACACAGGCGGGGGGGGGGGATCAGCCACGCGCGCAGGTTTTTTTGTTGTTGTTGCTGCTGCTTTCGGCTTCTGAGGGCCCTTGCCAGGCCGCGGGTCCGTCAAACAACGATTCAGGATGAATTGCCGGTCCCGGGGAACGGGTCGATACCTCGGGGGGTCGACGCTGTCTGCAAACAAATCATGGCATCGGGGGTCTGGGTAGGGGGAGGGGGGGAGGGCTTCTTAGAAAGACCCCTGTTTCTGAGAAGGCCTCGTCTGTAGATGAAGTGCCGGCACCTTCTAAGAAGCGGCATCCGTCTAAGAAGCCGTCCCCCTTTCCCCCTGCGCCTGTGCGCGCGCCGCCAAGGAGGGCGCGGAGGGCGGCAAGGACGGCGAGGGCGGCGAGGAGCAGATTGAAGAAGAAAAGTCGTCGTCGTCGTCGTCGTCGTCGTCGTCGAAAGGAGCAGAAGAAGCAGTGGCACAAACATGAGCCACCAGAGGTCCACGGCGGGCTTCTCGGGCCGGCGCTTGAGCCCCCTCCGGCGCCGCCCCCTGGCGCGCTCAACGCGCCAGGGAGGGGTCCAGCACCGATCCAATCCGCGCGGACCTCCACATGTGTCTGTTTATATGATTTTCGGTTCCTCTAAGAGTGCGGCCCGCGCATGCCCGTCGGTCGTTGAAAGTAAGTATTCCTGGGGCCCCAGATTTTTATCTACTTAAGCCGCCTTCCTGCTTCGAGGATCGAGCGGTTGTCCCTCTTCCTTCCTCTCCAGGGGGCGTGCGGAAGCCCGATCTCTTCTCAGCGCCGCCTTCCCACTTCATGTTTCATGCTACCACCCACTTCTTCCGACCGACGTGTGTGTGTGTGTGTGTGTGTGTGTGTGTGTGTTGTGTGTTGTGTGTGTGTGTGTGCGTACGTGTGTGTGTGTGTACGTGTGTGTGTGTTGTGTTGTGTGTGTGTGTGTGTGTGTGTGTGTGCGTACGTGTTTGTGTGTACGTTTGTGTGTGTGTGTGTGTGTGTGTGTGTGTGTGTGCGTGTGTGTTTGTGCGTGCGCGCGCGCGTGTGTGTGCGTATACACATATGTGTGTATGTGTGTATGTGTGTGGGTGATTTTCGCTTCCCCTGAACTGCGGCGTGAGCATGAGCCTGCGGCGTTCTCTCAGAGGAGGGCGGTCTGAGGCCACGGTCATCCGCTGGCCCCTGGGGGGGGTCGGCTCCCTCGCGGCCTCAGCGGGGCGCAGCCTCGAGAGCACAGGGTGCGCTTTGTTGCGCTCTGCGGAGGGGCCCCGAGGGCCGCCCTCCTAGGAGCTGCCGCTGTGTCAGCTCGCCCGGGCCCGCGGCCGCTTTCGCCCGTCTGTCCCTCCCCTCCTCCCCTCCTCCCCCCCCCCGCGGCCGCTTTCGCCTGCTTCTCCCTTCTAGGCCTCGTGGATGGGGTCGGAGGAGAGCACCGCCTCGCCGACGCATCGGCGATGCATCGGCGATGCGGCCCGATTTGCTCCACGCTGACGTCGCCGATGCATCGCCGATGCGTCGGCGATGTGGTGCAGTCCTCTGACGCCATCTCTCCTCGGACCCCCATTTTGGGAGGCCTTTCGCCCTCCTCCTGCCGTCGGCTCATCCTCGCGCTGCCCGGGGCCTGGACCGCCCGAGCGCGCGCGCGCGGACTGCCCCCGTCGTGCTGCGGCGTTGGAAGTGGTGTCGGCTCGCCCGGGTCCAAGAAATGTTTGATGGGCCTGTCTTCCACCACCACCACGACCAGAAGAAGTTGGAGGGGGGATGGACGAGGAGGACGAGGAGGAGCAGGAGGAGGAGGAGGAGGTGGAGGACGTGGAGGAGCAGGAGGAGGAGGAGGAGGAGGAGGAGGAGGAGGAAGAGGAGGAGGACCCCCTCCCCCTCCAACTCCTGGTGGTGGCGGTGGAACACGGGCCCATCAAAGTTGTCGGAGTTCCGCGGGGGTCTCTCGGACCGGGGCGCGCGCGGAGCGCGCCGGGGGGCGCCGCCACGGGGTGCCGCCGCAGGGGCCGCCGTCCGCAGGTCCAAGAAATCCGCGCGGGCTTCCAGTGCTTATACTTAGAATACTCAGAAGATATAAAACACACAGACACAACGAATCGTCGATCCCCAGGGAAGGTATGGGAAACTATTGGAAGTGGGGGGGAAGACGAAAGCCCAGAAAATATTTGCAAATACAGGGGTTCCTGTTAGTTGTGTGTGTCTATATTTATGTGTCCTTGGGCCCCTTCATATACTATTTTCCCGTAAACAGCTCGCCCTAGACAGTTTGCCTCCACAGATTGCCCTACGTATACACATACATCTACACGCCTGTCGGAGGTTGGGGGATACGATCGCCGTGGGACGGCGAGCCTCCCGCTGGGAAACTGGTTTCGGTTTCGTGTTCGTGTCGTGCGTGCGGGTCAGGCGAAGCTGCGTGAGAGGAGGACTGACCCCGCCGTCGCTAGGGCGATTCGGCTGCAGTGGACCGCGCCTCCGCCCCCGGTCGGCGCGCGGTGTCCCAGCGTGTCCCACCGTTGGCGTCCCGTCGGTGTCCCGTGGGCGTCCCCTCGGTGTTCCGTCGGCGGTGGGCGGGCGGTGGCCGGGGGTGTCCCGCCTTGGTATCGACAGCGAAGTCGATAGTGAGATGGATATTGAGATCGCTTGAATGGGACGGATAGTGGGATCAGAAGTGAGATCGATTGTGAGGTTGATTGTGACATCGGTTGCGATATCGGTAGTGGGATCGATAGTGCGATCGATGGAGAACTCGATAGTGAGATCGCTAGTGGAATCGATAGTGGGATCGATCGCTGAATACATTCGTACTGAGACTGGTCGCGAGGTCTATGATGGGATCGATCGAGTGAGATCGAAAGCGGGGATGATAGTGGCATCACATCGCAGCTCAACATCGTCATCACGCGTCGTCGCTAACTCGAGGGTGCGTCACCAGCATCGTCATCATCATATCCATCACATTTGTCAGCAGTGGGTTCGTAGGTTCGTGGGGGGAGGAACCAACGTGTCACCAAATCGATCTCACGATCGATCTCACTGTCGATCTCACGATCGATGCCACTGTCGATATCACTATCGATTTGACTATCGTTCTTACCATCGATTTAACGATTTATCTCACTACCAGTCTCACTATCGATCTCACTATTGATCACACTATGGATCTCACCATCGATTCCACTATCGATGCCACTCTCGTTCTCACAATCGGTCTCACTATTGAACTCACTATCGATCTCATTATGGGACACCGACGGGACACCATTGGGACACTGGCGGGACACCGACGGGACATCACTATCGGTCTCATTATCTATCTCATTCGAGTATCTCATTACTGACCTCATTATCGATCTCATCCGGTCGATACCAGTATCGATCTTATCATCGACATGGCTATCGATCACGCTATCGATTTCACTATCGATCTTATTTGGTCGCTCTCACTAGCGATTTCATTATCGATCTCACTATCGATCTCCCTATCGACCGCACTATCGGTCTAAATATCGATCTCACTATCGATTTCACTACGGGACATCGACGGGACACCGACGGGACACCGACGAGACACCGACGGGACGCTTGCGGTGCACCCCTGGACACCGCCGGATAAACCGGGGGGGAGGCGATCTTTTGGCTTGGAGGCGCCCTAGCCAGAGGAGAGAGTTCATTCCTTTCGCCCGCCCATGCAGCTTCGCCTCGCCCGCACGTGCAACACCACCACGAAACTGATACTTTCTTCTCGGTCTGGGGCCTCTACGTTTCACTGCGATCTCACGCTCTCGCCTCCGATAGCTGTCTTCCAAGGCTGTTGGCGTCTACGGATGTCGTCGTTTCTGGTCGCAGGTGATTTTTCTATCCCCATCCCCGACCTTTCGACGAAACATGACGCGGCAAAGAAAGGGAGGGGAACCCTGGGATACACCCCCAGGAGGCTCTTCGGACGCACCCCTTCTCGAGGATGGACGGCCCCCCCCTCGCATATCTCAGGGCTGGGCCACAGATTTCGGGTCCACTCGAGAGCCCCACGGGGCCTGGGACAGGGGCCGACACATCCCCATGGTGTCTGGTTCCGGTCTCCGGCCGTGGCCCCCTTGTCGCCTGGTCGTGGGCTCCTGCCGTCGCCCGCGGTCTGCGATCTCCCGGGCAGGGTCTCCCCTACGGCAGGTGGCATTATGTCGGGCGTGTCCCCCTACAGGGGATCCTCGACGAAGAATGAGAGATACCCCAGAAAGGTCAACGAATACTCAAAACATCGTCCCCATACTATTTTTGGACTACTTTCTGATTCTTTTAGGGGTATTGCGAAGGCCTTACGGCCGGTGCCGCCGACCCTGAAGACGAAGCTGTCTGTGACGCCGTGAAAGCCGAAACGTCGCATATGCTAGAAATGTAAGTTTCCGATGGAAAAGTAATGAGTGTGGCCTCTTGGGCCCTTCTTGGGGGTGCTCTTGGAGGGGGCCTGGGACGTCTTGGAGGCTTCTTGGACGGTCTTGGGGCTATCTTGGGCGTCTTCGGCCGATCTTACTACTTTCTGATTATTTTAGGGGTATTTTTTTGTATTTTCGTCGAACGTCCCCCTATAGGGGGACGCGCCCGACTTTACATGTGGCAAAGTGCGGCACGGCCCGTTCGTCTCGGCATCGCCCGGGCGTGCGCATTGCCTGCTCGGCGAGGGCCCGCGAGGAGCATCCCGGGTCAGCTGGCGGAAGAAAAACTCGGGGGTGGACAGACCTCATACCCTGACACGTCGATTAAGGAATTGGCCGATTTCGGTTCGCGAGAGGGCGTCGCGGTCGTCATTTTTGCGGGTCCAGGTCCGTGGGTTTCGGTCCCAAGCCGTTTTACTAAGGGGAGGTCTACTAAAGGGAGGTTTGTCCACCGCCGAAAAACACGCACGAGGCCGAACCATTTACGGGGGAATGGGCGTGCGAGCGACGGCGAGTCGTGCGTGTGGTCTGGTGTGGCACAGTGCAGCAACGTTGAGGGCAGGGGGACGGCACGGTGGTGCGGCGTGGCGCCGTACTGATGCTGCTGCTCCCGGGAGTGCTGTCTGCGGTACTCTGGAGCATCGTCGTGCATGGTCTTTTGCTGCCGATCGTAGAGCTCTCTACCTCCCGCGGAGGAGGAGCTGCCCCTGCCCGCCCCCCCCAGAGGAGTGCGCTGAGGGCGCGGAGGAGCCCGACGCCTCCCTGGAGGACCGCGCCCGCACCGAGCCGAGCCGAGCCGATCCTGGCTCCATGCCGGTGCGGCCCCCTGCGGCACGCCTGCAGATCCGATGCGGCGTGCCGAGTCCGTGCTGGCTGATCCCAGTATCTCCTGATGGGCCTGTTTTCCACCACCACCACTGTAAGTTGGAGGGGGGGAAAGAGGAGGACGACGAGGAGAAGGACGTGGAAGAGGAGGAGGAGGAGGAGGAGGAGGTGGAGGAGGAGGACCCCCTCCCCCTCCATCTTATGGTGGTGGTGGTCGTGGAAAACAGGCTCATCATCTCTACTGTCGGATGGCGATCTCAAGAGATGTCCGGGCGGCCCGTCATGCGGCAGTGCCCTGGGAGATTCGCACGGGGTTAGGACGATGATGAATCCGTTTCAGAGCGTTCCGCAGCGCAGTCGGACGGGGCTAGGGCGAGGGGAAGGAAACCCGTTCCAGAGCTTTCCAGAAAGCTCTCAGAGCGTTCTTGAACGCTCTAAGAAGGCCGCGGCGTCTGAGACATCCTGCAGGGCCGCTGGGTCTCAGAGATTCTCGATTTATCCCCACTCGATATTCATTTTGTCCTGGCTTCGTGTCAGAAATGATCCATTGGGTTGCAGGCCTGCTCACGGGCGTCGTCGTCGTCACTGACTCTTTGAGCGTCCTCCCCGTAATCTGCCCCCGCGGCAGAGAATGGCTCTTACGAGTCGTCCCCCACGTGTCCAACCCGCATAGTAAAATGGGCAACCTTCCCAAGGGTACCCTTGCATCCTTGCCCCTTCGGGGCCCATCCTCGGCGACTTTCGCTGGCCAGCCTCGTTCGAAAAACGTTCACATGGGCCTCCAAGGCCCTTGCATCCTTACCGCGCATCCTTATGATACGGATTGACTGTCTGCATAATCTCCTCCCTGAGGAGTGCGCCGCAGGCGCGGAAGAGCCCGACGCTCCCCAGGAGGAGGGCGAGGCCGCCGACGACAGCTGCGACGAGGACGACGGCGACCGCGCGGTGCCCAGCGCCACGCCCGCCGCCGCGGCGCCGCCGTCGAAGCAGGGCGACACTGCTCCGGCGAAGGCCGCCGAGGGCGGTGCGGGCAGCTTCTGCGAAGGCCTGGCGGTCCGGAGAACGGTGCTGCTGCTCTAGGCCTCCCAGAATGGGGTCGGAGCAGCTGGGGTCGGAGGATCGCGCCGCATCGTTGATGCATCGGCGATGCGGCTCGATGTGGAGCCCGATTCGATTCACGCCGACGTCGCCGAAGCATCGCCGATGCATCGCCGATGCGTCGCCGCTGCGTCGGCGATACGTCGGCGATGCATCGTTGATGTATCGGAGATGCGGCGCCATCCTCCGACCCCATCTGTTCCGACCCTGTTTGGGAAACCTCCACTGGCGGTCCAGAGAACGGTGCTGTCGTGGAACGTGGCCGGCCTGATCCGAGTCCGGCCCCCTTGCCGATGGGGCGCCAAGCCCGGCGCACGCTGCGGGCCGACCCGATCTTGACGGGCCTGTTTTCCACCACCACCACCATAAGTTGGAGGGGAAAGGGGGTCCTCCTCCTCCTCCTCCTCCTCCTCCTCCTCCTCCTCCTCCTCCTCCTCTTCCTGCTCCACCTCCTCCTCCTCCTCCTCCTCGTCCTCCTCCTTCCCCCCTCCAACTTAGATCTCCTGGTTCGGTGCTGGCTGGTCCTGGCCCATCAGATCTCCCGGTTCGGTGCTGGTTGGTCCTGGCCCTGGGGTCCTTCGGAAAGGGGCCAGGACGAGGAGAAAGCCGTCCCAGGGCGTTCTGGGACGCGAGCGTTCCGGAAGGCTCTGAGAACGCCGCGGCGCTCGAGACATCCTCTTCCAGGGCCGCCGGATCTCAGAGATTCTTGGTTGATCCTCACCCGATTCTATCCTCGTCCTAGCTTCGCCTCATGTGCTCAAGGTTCGGCCTCGCCTCGCAGTACTGGACGATCAGAAATGGGTGAACTCTGAAATCAAGGTTCGATAGATGTTCGAGGCTTGAGTCTGCAACAGGGAAATCCCAAGACGGATTGATTTTCGAGGTGCAGCAGCCTCTACGGATTACGCCCCTGAGCCCTCCACCCTCAGAAAATGCTCGGGCTGCGGTGACCACAGCGGGGGGGAGAAGTCTGGTGGAGGTCGGGGTGGCCGCACGGCTCTGGGCCCGGGGCCGTTCTCCGAGGATGTGCTCGGCGGCTGGGGCCTCAGGTCCCAGGCCGTGCGGCGATGGGGAGGAGGAGGAGGAGGAGGAGGAGGAGGAGGAGGAGGAGGAGGAGGAGGAGGAGGAGGAGGAGGAGGACCACCCTCCCCTCTCCAACTTATGGTGGTGGTGGTGGTGGTGGAACACAGGCCGATCATATGTGTTTTTTTGCATTGGATTTTCGATGTCGCCGCACGGTGGGCCACCGCACCGTTTGGGGGACCCACAAGAGGCGGCGCCAGTGGCAGCGACGCGAAGGTCGAGCCTGCGAAGGACTCGAAGTCGTCGAAGGTCATTGAGGAAAAGAGAACCCCTAGCCCTAGTAACACGATGAAGACGTAGCCTCGCTGAGGCCCCCCGTCTTTGCATTAGGGATAGTGCTTCTGGGCGGTTTGGCTCGATACACCTGCAGACAAGACCCCGCTATCCCACATGTTTTTGGCACCCCTAACTTCGGTCCCCCCCCAAAGGGTTAGGGGTCTTTTTTTGATGATCGGAAGGCTGCCGCCAAAGACTTCAACAAGCAGTGGCTGGCGCAGTACTGCTACGACGACGACGACGCCTCCGATGGTGGCGGCCTCGAGGACGAGGCGGTTGCTCGCGAGAGGCGGAAGAAAGCGGACCCGATGGCGTTTTACCGCGAGATCAGCATCGAGTTCACGAAGGTGCCGTCTTTCAGAGCAGGAGAAGGTACTTCGCTGGTTTCCTCCCTTTTTGGGGCCTCCTGGGAGGCCCTCGTCGCCACCGTTGGATTCGCCTCGAACTCCTGGTCAGAACGCACCCCGGGAGAGGTCCGGGGAGCAGCACCATCGGCGCGGGCTCCTGCCCCCCCCCCCCGTAGTCCAGGTCTTGGCTGTTTTGGGCGGCTGGTTTCTTGCGACTGGTCTGGAGCACTCCCCAGTCTGATCTTTCGACTGGGAGGAGCGGACGGACTGAGCACTGGCCCAGACCCATACCCCCCTCCCTCCCCCACCCTTTGGCCACACGTCGAAGCCCAGAATGAAAATCGCTCGCAAGCTGAAGCGGCGGGCGGACAAGATCCGGGACCAGAAGAAGAGCACCATGGGCAGGAAGCTGGGCGACCTCATGACGGAGGCGAACCAAGTGAACCTCCAGATGAAGAGGATAAAGGCAGAGATGGAGGATCGGGCGGGTGCTAAGGTGGGGTGACCCAGATGGGGGGTGAAGAACAAGGCCCCAAAGGGGCCCTGTAAGGCCCCTTTGGGGCACCAGCTAGCTCCAAACGGGTCCCTACGAGGGCCCCTTTAGGGCAGGGCTGGACCTAAACGTTTTGGCGATTTCGTGGGCCGTTTTCATTTCGATTTTGCTTTGCGGCAAACGTGGATTGAAGACAAAACGAGGGAAGACGTACGACAACCACCGCTTAGGTTCAGCCCTGCTGTAGGGCTTTTTTCTTCACCCCCCCAGGGCCACCCCCCCAGCACCACCCGTCCGAGAGGAGATGGAGTCTGGCAAGTACGGCAAGCTGGACACCGCGGGGAAATCCGGCCGCCCAGACGGCGTCGCGGCTCTCGATCGGAAGCCCAGGCCGCCCAAGAGGGCCGCGGCCGCGTCGGCGGAGGACGTGCCCGCCGAGGGGGACGCGGCCGGCGGGGAGGAGGACGGCGCCGTGGACCTCTTCGGGGAGGAGGCCGACAAGTTGGTGGTGCTCGAGGACAGGCCGACGAGCTCTATACGCAACCAAATTCGAAGAAGAGAACGGCATGAACGTAAACGTTTGGCGCTCCGCGCGGAGGTCTTAGAGCCGCGCGGGGCCCCCCCTGGCGGCGCCTCTGGCGCCGCGCAGAGCGCCGAAAGTTTAAGTTGTTGTTTGTTTCCCCCTCTGTTTTTCACATGTATATATATATATATATATATATGTATATGTACATGTATGTATGTAAATGTATGCATACATATATATATATGCAACAACTAACTGTCTTACGTGTTAACGAAAACAGGACCGAGGCTATCGGTGTCTAGGCCACGGGACCAAGACGATGTGGGGTGCGGAAATCGGCCCCCCGGTAGTGCTCCAGAGCTCCGCGCGAAGCCCGCTGGACAAAGTGCAGGACATCGGAGGAGGTCTGGAGAATCCACTGCCCCTGGCCAGGCCCAGGCTGGGCCCTGCAGCTGTGTGTGTATGTATGTTTGTGTGTGTGTTTGTGTGTGTTTGTGTGTGTGTGTGTGTGTGTGTCTGTGTGCGCCTCCCTGGCCAAGGAGGACGAGGAGGAGTTGGACGAGGAGGAGGAGAAGGATGACGAGGAGGTGGTGTGTGTGTGTGTGTGTGTGTGTGTGTGTGTGGGATGGCCTCCCTGGCCAGGCAAGGAGGGCGTGCGCACCGCTCTTGGGCAAGGGTGTGCCTGGGCAGGGGTAGTGGACGCGCGCATAACTTCAAATCGGGCACGCCCCTCCACAGGAGGAATCTTCAAAATTACAGTCAACCCGCATATCAGGGATGGGGAACCTTCCCAAGGGTACCCTTGCATCCTTGCCACCTCGCTCCGTCCTTGGCCACTTTCGTTGGCCGCCCCGCGCTCGGAAAGCTTCGACATCGGCGGGCAAGGCCCTTGCATCCTTATCGCGCATCCCTACTATACGGGTTGACTGTGGTGAAACATTGTCTGGGGACGATGTTTTGAACATTTGAAAGGGCGTGTTCTACCGCTGCTGGCGGAAAACCGGGGGTGGGGGCACTGGGGGTTCCTAACCCGTCCCCCCCCCCCCCCTCGAAAACCAGGGGGGAGTCACTACGGGTTCGAACCCCCCTTCCCCCCCCCCAGTCCATCATGAAAAGGGAGGGGGGGTCACCACCGGTTCGAACCCCCCCCCTTCGAAAACCGGGGGGGGGGGTGGTCACTACCGGTTCGAACCCCCCCCCTCGAAAACCGGGGGGGGGGTGGTCTTTACTGGTTCGAACCCTCCCTCCCCCCCTCGCCGCCGGCAAACGAAACGATGCCCGCTCCTCGGGACAGTTGGAGAATGGTGGGGATGTTGGGACAGTGGTGGGAGCGGTGGTGGTGGGGACAGTGGCCAGTGGTGCGGGGACAGTGGGACAGTGGTGCGGACAGTGGCGGGGACGTTGGTGGTGGGGACAGTGGTGAGGGGACAGCCGGAAAGTGGGGACGGTAGTGGTGTGGACAGTGGTGAAGGCGGTGATGAGGACAGTGGTGGGACAGTAGTACAGTGGGGACAGTGGTGGGGACAGTGGGGACAGTGGGACAGTGATGGGGACAGTGGGGACGGTGGGACAGCACAGTGGGACAGCGGCGGGGACAGTGGGACAGTGGTGGGAACAGTGGGACAGTGGTGAGAACAGTGGGGACAGTGGGACAGTGGTGGGGACCGTGGGGAAAGTGGGGAGAGTGGGACCGTGGTGGGACAATGGTGGGGAGAGTGGGGACATTGAGACACTTGTGGGGGGCACTGGTGGGGACAGCGGGGACAATGGTGGGAACAGTGGGAATGGTGGGAACAGTGGAGATAGTGGGACAGTGGTGGGAACAGTGGGAATACTGGGACAGTGGTGGGGACAGTGGTGGCGGGGACAGTGTTGTGGGGACAGTGGGAATGTGGTGGGAACAGTGGGACAGTGGAGGGTATGTACAGTGGTGGTGGCGACAGTGTGAGGGCGGTGGCGAGGACGGCGGTGGGATAATGGGACAGAGGTACAGTATGGACAGTCGTGGGGACAGTGGGGACGCTGGTGGGAACAATGGGACAGCTCAGTGGGACAGCGGCGGGGACAGTGGGACAGTGGGGACATTGGGACAATGGTTGGGGCCGTGGAGAAAGTGGGGAGAGTGGAACCGTGGTGGGAACAGTGGTGGGGACAGTGGGGACAGTGCGACAGTGGTGGAGGCACTGGTGAGGACAGTGGTGCCGGTGGTGGGAACAGCGGGAACAGTGGTGGTGAGGACAGTGGTGCTGGGGACAGCAGAGGGGGATGTGGTGCGGACGGTGGTGGGGGCCCAGAGTTGTGTGCAGGCGGTGAGCGTGGGGGGGGAGGGGTTCGAACCAGTAGTGAACCCCTCTCGGTTTTCGAGGGGGGGGGGTTCGAACTGGTAGTGGCCCCCCCGGTTTTCGAGAGGGGGGTTCGAACCGGTAGTGACCCCCATGGTTTTCGAGGGGGGGGGCCGGGGTTCGAACCGGTAGTGACCCCCTCCGTTTTTGAGAGGCGGGGGGTTCGAACCGGTAGTGACCCCCCCATCGTTTTCGAGGGGGTGGGTCGAACCGGTAGTGACCCCTTCCAGTTTTCTGGTGGGGGGGGGGGTTCGAACCGGTAGTGACCCTTCTCTGGTTTTTTGAGGGGGAGCGAGGGAGGGGTTCGAACCGGTATAGTGACCCCCTCGCGGTTTTCCGGAGGGGTGGGTGGGTTCGAACCCGTGGTGACCCACCCCGGTTTTCCGGAGGGGGGGGGGGTGGGGGAGGGGGGGGATTTGCCGGGGGGGAGGGGGGGGGTGTTCCAGCAGGGGGGGGATTTTCGGAGGGGGGGGGGAACCCCGGGCTCCTGAGGAGGAGGGGGGTGACATTTTCCATAGTAAAGCGGCGGTGGATCACGCTCTCTTGAACATTTGTATCGTCCATGCTTGCATCTTTTGGGCTATTTTTTTTATTCCAAAATCCGCCTGCAGGGGGACGCCCGACCTAAGCATAGCTCTCCTCGCCCTCGAGGAGCTCGACGAGAGCGACCCCACCGGGAAGGTCTGCCGGGACTACGCCATCGGCAGGTCCTGGACGGGCAAGAAGCCCAAGGAGATCCTGGACGAGTTCGTGAGGAAGAGCCTGCGGCTCGGGCAGAAGGCCATCAAGTACGACCGCCTGCCGCGGGTCGGGGCCCGCGGGGAGAGGCCGAGGGAGACCCAAGCGGCATCGCCGCAAGTGGCCCCCCTTGCGGCAGACGACCCCGGGGGGCTTCTTCGCTGTCGCAGGATGGGGGGCACGACGGGGGGCCACGATCGGGGGGGAGGGGCACGACAGGGAGGGGCGCGATGGAGGGCCACGCCAGAAGGGCACGATGGGGGGCCACGATGGGGGGGTGCCACGATGGGCCGCCATGGGCTGCCGATTTCGGCGGCCGGGCATCCCTCACCAGGCATCGCAATAATCATCATCAGCATCAGCATCAGCATCATCACCATCATCATCATCATCATCACCATCACCATCACCATCACCATCATCATCATCATCATCATCATCATCATCATCATCATCGTCATCGTCATCGTCATCGTCATCAGCATCATCAGCATCATCATCAGCATCATCAGCATCAGCATCAGCATCAGCATCAGCATCATCATCATCATCATCATCATCATCATCATCATCATTATCATCATCATCATAATCATCATCATCGTCATCATCGTCATCGTCATCGTCATCAGCATCATCAGCATCATTATTATCATCATCATCAGCATCATCATTAGCATCATCATCAGCATCATCAGCATCATCATCACCATCATCATCATCATCATCATCATCATCATCATCATCATCATCATCATCATCATCATCATCATCATCATATATATAGAACCCTTACAGTTGTTTAGGATGCGTTCGAAGATCCGCGCGGATTTCTCTCTCGGATCGGCGCCAGACTCCCCGCGTCGTCGCGCGGAGCGCGCCACGGGGAATCGCTGACTCTCAGGACGTGTGCTGGCCCGCTGTGTGGTTACAGCCGGACCGAGGTGCAATCGCCAAGCGCGTTCCACTACTCGCAAAGTGCCTACTCGCAGACGCCCTCAAAAAAACCATACGCCTGCCCTTGTGTAATATATCGTAAATCCCCTGCGGCGGATCCAGGCCATTTGCGAGTAGCTGCTTTGCGAGTACCGGAACGCGCTTGCCCATATGAGGTGGAGGTCGCTTCGGGGAGGGTAGCCTAAGATTCTTCGTGTTTGTTGGATGCCCTTGTGCATCCTGGGGAGGGTACGCTAATTAGGATGCTCTGTGTGTTTTGGCCGACGGAGGGTCTCATGCTCTTGGAGGGATGTTCGTCTGACCCAGGTCCGACTGCACCCAGGGCGGCTCCTGTCCTCTGATGGCACGCAGCCCGTGTCGGCCCTCGCTGCACTGCCCGCGTCGTATACTGAAGGGCTTCGGTGGGCAGGCACACGTCGGCGCCGACACGCGTTCTGAGGATCGTCGAGGGGGTCCAGCGCCGGTGCGGGAGATCCGCGTGGAGCTCCGAAGGTTGGTCCCCCTCCCGACACGTGGGGTGTGGATGCAGCTCCTGGGATGTCAAATTCTGACTTTGCCCTGGTCCGAAATTCGGCCTCATCCGGCTGGAGCCCGCCTAGTCCCGCTTGATTCCGCTCCATCCGGCTGAACCCCTCTCAATCCGCGGCCGAATCCGACGCAGCAGCCCCCCCCACGGGCTCAATCTTTTTTTTTTTCTCCTTGGGGTGAAGGCCTCCGAGCAGTTGCCTCCTGAGGCTGTGGTGGTCGGGTCTGAAGAGGGAGAGCGCTCCCGACCCGCGCGCCGCGGCCGCCGGGCCCGCAGCTCCGAGGCGGGAATCTACACACGGCCACCGCCCGGAGGATCCGTCTCTGGGGACCTCGGCAGGCGGTGGACAGGGATGTAATACTCGTGGCCCCAGGGGCCAGGCTATACCCACATCCGCCGCCCGCCTGGGCCCCCGGGACGTCGATTCCCAGGCGGTGGATACTCCAGATTTCTTGATAAAAGGGAGGGGGTCTGCACCCTCCAAGACAAGCCATTTCAGACCTCCCCCGTGGGAGAACCCTCCAAAACATAGTCCCCAGACCCCCCCAGGCCCTCCAAGATAGCCTGGAAGAGACCCCCCCCCGAAATGAGACCCCCCTCCCTTTATTACGAAATCTGGAGTACCCATATCCGCCGCCCGCCTGGGCCCCTGGGACGTCGATTCCCGGGCGGTGGATAGTGGCGAATCCCTGCCCCGCAACAGCTTGCCATGGCTCCGTGGGCAGCCCGCCTCGTACGTCCGACGAATGGCGGCTGCATGGTGCCCCCTCGGTATCGCGCTTCCGCCTCCGAGGAGGAGGCGGGGGAGGAGGAGGGGGAGGGGGGGGAGGAGGGGTGAAGGAGGGGGGAGGAGGAGGAGGAGGAGGAGGAGGAGGAGGAGGAGGAGGAGGAGGAGGAGGAGGAGGAGGAGAGGAGGAAGGAGTGGCAGGCTGCTGCTGCTGCTCCTGCTGCTGCTCATGATGATGATGATGATGATGATGATGATGATGATGATGATGATGATGATGATGATGATGATGAAGATGACGATGATGGTCGTGGTGGTGATGATGATGCTGATGATGATGGTGATGATGCTGCTCATGATGCTGCTGATGATGATGTTGATGCTGATGCTGCTAATGATGATGCTGCTGATGCTGATGCTGATGCTGAGGATGATGATGCTGATGCTGATGCTGATGCTGATGCTGATGATGATGATGATGGTGCTGGTGGTGGTGCCGATGAGCTTGATGATGATTATGATAATGTTGGTGATTGTAGTGATGATGCTGATGCTGACGCTGATGACGCTGATGATGCTGCTGCTGCTGATGCTGCTGCTGCTGATGCTGATGCTGATGATGATGACGATGCTGATGATGCTGATGATGCCGATGATGCTGATTCTGCTGATGATGATGCCAATGCTGCTGCTGATGCTGATGCTGATGCTGCTGCTGATCCCGCGTCCGCCTCGCGTTCTCGGGTGGGGATCGCTCGAAGGGCAGTGGTGTTTGTGCCGTTCTGATCCTCCTCCGGGAGGGCGCGGTGCACGGTGCTGGTGAAGGAGCCGGTGCGCGCCGAGCCAGTGGAGGGCTGCGCCTCGGCAGAGGAGGCTCGGGCGGGGTCAGGACCAGGGTAGATTGTTCCTGGAGCGTCCGGGAGCGGGGAGCGCACTGGAGTGCTTCAGATCGGCGCGGCGCCAACACACCGTTCAGGGCTCAGGGCCGCAGGCCGTGCACGGCCCCCCCCACCGTCCAGAGAGGACGGGTCCCAGGCCCCCCCCAGATGGGATGGGTGGGGGACGACGACGACGACGACGACGACGATGACGACGGCGACGGCGACGGCGACAGCGACGACGACGACGACGACGGCGACAGCGACGACGACGACGACGACGGACGACGACGACGACGACGACCACAACGACTACTACGACGGTGGCGGCGACGACGACGACAATGGCGGCGGCGGCGGTCGACGACGAAGCGGACGACTTCGACGACGGCCGCTGCGGGGGCGATGGCGCAGACGGCGACGATGACGACGACGGCGGCGGCGGCGGCGGAGGTGGAGACGACGACAGGTGACGACGACGACGACGACGACGACGGCGTCGGCGAAGGCGGCGGTGGCGGCTGCGTCGGCTGCGTTGGCGGCGGCGGCCTCGGCGATGACGACGACGACAGGTGACGACGACGTTGACGAAGCGGACGTCTTCGACGACGGCGGCGGCGCAGACGACGACGATGACGACACCGACGACGACGGCTTCGGCGGCGGGGGCGGCGATGACGACGTGATGGCGACGACGGCGGCGGCGGCCAGGACGACGACAAGACGGCGACGACGACGACGGCGGCGTCGCAGGTCACGGTGATGACGACGAAGACGGCGACGACGGCGTCGGCGGTGGCGCCGACGACGACGACGACAACGATGTCGGCGGCGGCGGCGGCGACGACGACGACGACGGATGACGACGACGACGACGACAACGCCCGCCGCGGATGCGGCGGCGCAGACGACGACGACGACGACCACGACAACGACGACGACGACGACGACGACGACGACGGCGTCGGCGACGACGACCATGACGACGACGATGACCATGATTGACTTCCGAAATCCGACGACCGACGTCCGACGACGTCGACGACGACGACGGACGACGACGACGACGGCACCGCAGCTCCATTCCCACACCCGCAGGGGGGATCGGGGGGGCACAGCAGCACCACCCGACACCCGAAGAGTGGACGGGGGGGGGAACCGCAGCACCACCCGACACCCACGGGGGACGGGGACCCCGTTCGCCTCGGCGGTGGGGAGCCCGCAGGCATCAAGCAGCCCGAGGGGGGATGCCTCCTCCAGAGCCGCAGGGTCTCAAAGATCCCCGATGTGTCCTGGTCCAGCCACAAAGACGACGACAACGACGACGACGTTGACGGCGGCTGCGGCAGACGACGACGACGACGACGACGACGACGACGACGGATGACGACGACGACGACGACGACGATGACGACAGCGTCGGATCCCTGATGTGTCCCCGCCCGATTCCGTCTCAGTCCTTGTCTCGTCTCAGAGGCGGGGCAGCTGTCGGCCACCCTGGCGCTCTTCGAGCTGTGCGCCGTGCGCAACCTGTCCACGCGCACGGTGCGAGCCCCCTGCCCCGGCCGCCGTCTTCTCCTGCCCAGGTCCCCTTTGCGTCGTGGACAAGCACTTCGAAGCTCGATCCTCGAGGATCGGGCCCCCGGGGGGGTTCTCGCCGCTGCGGCCGGATTCGTTTCCAAATGGCAGTCGGAACGCACCCCAGGAGAGGTTTGGGGTTCGGTTTGTGACCCCTGGACCCGGACATTCCCAACTCCTAGGCCTCCTGGATGGGGTCCGAGTAGATGGGGTCGGACGATCGCGCCGCATCGCCGATGCATCGGCGTTGTGGCTCGATGCTCAGCCCGCTTTCCTCCACGCCGGCGCCGCCGATGCATCGCCGATGCATCGCCGATGCCTCGCCGATGCATCGGCGATGCCTCGCCGATGCATCGGCGATGCATTGGCGACGCGGCGCAATGCCTGCAAGCCGCGGGCACGTGCTGGTGCGCGGAGGAGGAGGAGGACGAGGAGGAGGAGGACGAGGAGGAGGAGGAGGAGGAGGAGGACGAGGAGGAGCAGGAGGAGGGGACCTCATCTGGGAGGCCCCTGCAAGTCGCAGGTGAGTCCCGAGGGTTTTTTTTTTGGTGTGCGTTTGCTCGGGTGTTTTTGGGGCCCTCGCTGGACCCTGCCGTCGAAGAGAGAGACGAGGCGGGGTTCCAGAGGCCGGCCCCAGGGAGTGGCTCGAGGCGTCCAGGGGTCCAGCGCTTGGCATCGCTCGGACGTGTGCGTTTTTCCTTCGGCAAGGACCATCGAGGAGCATGCTTGATCATTTGGCGGGAAAAACCACGCACGAGACCAACAAGAACACAGGGAATGGACGTCCGAGCGATGGCGAGAGCGTGACCAAGTCATGACACCGGGGGTCTCAGCCTCCACTCTGCAGTGAGGACGGGGAGACTCAAGGGAAGAAAAAGCACCCAGGCCCCGACGCTTGGCGTTTGCTAGCGGCCCTGGGCGTTAAGTGAACAGCCCCACCCTGTTCGAGTCTCTCCTGGGGCGCGTTTGCGACACGGCCTCGCTTGTCGGAGTGCTGATCATCGGGGTGAATTTTCGGCCCTGTAAAGAAGGATGAGTTCAGAGTGCAGTCGATTCGCTCGAGCAAGGGCCGCTTCGGGTTCAGCGGAGGGGCTCTGCTTGTTTCGGGCTGGTCCCGAGATCTGGGCCTCCGAACCCACTCGTGGCCAGGGCTGGCCGAGGCCGAGGCCGAGGCTGATGTCGGTCCGGGAGCCTTCAGTGGAGACCCATGTCAAGAAACACCCTGCTTGCCTCCAGGGTGTCCTGGGTTTCTTGGGCTTCGATGGTTTTGTCATGGAGAGCGTGACGTTCCCACAGTAACAGTCCATGTACGTCCTGGGGTTCCAGGGTTGGGGTTCTTGTGGATGGTTCCTTGTGGTCGAACTCCTACTATATGTGGCGATGAGGGTGACAAGGGCCCAGAACTCCAACTTATCGAACGATGCTCAGTGCGGATTTGTTTTGCAGTTTTCGGCCCTGGTGGGACCTCGCCGGGCCCCAGGATCATCCAACAGAAACGACTCGGCATGAGACTCCGGCCCCGGTGCAGGGAAGGATTGCCGGGGGCCCCGTTTTTATGCAACTCAGTACATCGGATAACTGGGGAGAGGAGCAGCTCAGAAGTGAATCGTAGATGCCCCATGCCGGTGCCAATGCTCGCCTTTCGTGGTCGCTTGCCTGCATCCTGGGGGGCCTCTGGGCGTCCCCCGCTCGAGTGGGCATGGGGGGCTGGCCGGCCAGAGTGGAGACTCGCGGGGACTGCCAATGTCATCCACCCTGTCGCCTCCCCCCTTCTTGATTTTACCCTTCGCGGGGATCAGTGGCGCTCGGGCGCCCGAGTCTGTGAGGAGCTCACCCGTTTCGACTTTCGGCGGACCGCTCCGCTGCACTGCCTACTCTGCGTTTCGTGATGGGCGCATGGCCATGCAGTGAATCCGCATAGCAAAGACGGGCAACCTGCCCAAGGTTGCACTTGCATGTTCGGTCCATCCCTTGGCCACTTCCGTGGGCCGTGCTCCGCTCGAAAAGCTTCGAAACGGCCTTCCAAGGCCCTTTCATCCTCATCGCGCGTCCTTGTGATACGGGTCGATTGTGCTCTGCGTTTCGTGATGGGCGTATGGCCACATGCATGTGGGGTTCCCCCCCCAGCGGGTGTCAACGTCGCCACGCCGGGTCACCGCGCCAGGGGGCAATGATGGGCCAAGGTTCCACCACCGCTACCAAAGGTTAGCACGGGGGAGAAGGGCGGATTGGGAGGTCCACCTCCTCCTCCTCCTCCTCCTCCTCCTCCTCCTCCTCCTCCTCTTCCTCCTCCTCCTCCCCCTCCTCCTCCTCCCCCTCCTCCTCCTCCTCCTCCTCCTCCTCCTCCTCCTCCTCCTCCTCCTAGGCGTCTTGCGCGAGCACCCCCCGCACCATACACGCCTAACCTCCCCCACTATACATACTTTCCTGCTGCGCCATGCCGCTCATTCATGTTTGAGGGACCCCCGCACGGCACGTTGGTGTGGGAGTACCATGGAGATTCGTGATTTGAACTTCGTGGTCCATAACGTTTGTTCTCTGGTCCAACCTGGTCGACATGAGGAGTTTTCTGTTGCATTTGCTTCGAAGGACGTTCAATTCTTAGTGGGCACCCGTATGAGAAGAAAGCCGACGGACAACGTTTGTGTCTCGGTCTCGGACTCCAAGCTGCATATTCTTAGTTGGGGATATGGGCGATCACCCCTCACGAATGCTCATACGGGTATCCAGATTCGGCTTCGTCGTGACGTGTTTCGACTCGCGCACATATCGAACGTGTACTCTCCTCCCGAACGCTTGCAGGGTAGAGGTGGTGCTGTTGCCATTCGCTCTGGACGATTTCATCTCTTGTGCATCGCAGTCTACTTTCCGCCCCGGCCCACCGTTGCGAAGCAGCGGCTGAACTATCAGCGGACGGTAGACGAGCTTGTGCAGTGGATGATCAGCACTGCCGCCGAGCAGCCCGCGCGCTGCTCCATCGTTTTTGGAGGTGATTTGAATGATAATGCAGGTATACCAGCTAGTGACTTTATCCCTGACGGGTTCAACCCAGTAGGCGAACTCTTTCCACGACCTGAACATTATTGTCTTAAGTGAATTCGAGAGTTCATGGAGCAATTTGGCTTATGTTTGATTAACACTTTCGTGGGTACGTACTATAACAAAACAACTAGTTCCAGAATCGATTACTTTGGGGCTCCTCGAAATTTGGTTATCTTCGGTTTCTGATTGTCGCATCCTGGAGCGTCTTGGGAGGCAACTGCAAATGGTGCCTATTGTGCGCCGCTGGGACCATTGGCCGCTGCAAGTGTCTGTAAAATACATGTTGAGCTTCCCGCACACCCGCACCCCCAAGGCTGAACTCTGGGACATGGACAGGCTCGTCGAAGGGGCTTCTGATGGGCTTTGGAGGCAGCGTTTCCTGGAGGAGGTTGAGCAACTATGTTTTCGAACGTTCCCTGAATGGTCTAGGCTTGAGGCCCAAGCAGTACCAGATCGAGCATGGGAGCAATTTGTCTTGGAGATCCGTAAAATCGCCCTGGGCTTTTTTGCACGTTACACTGAACCTGATGCAGTCGATGCTGCTGCACGTGATGAGCAAAGAACGCTACTAAAACAACGCTTCCAACTTCGTGCCCAGCTTGCTGAGCTCACGTCGGCTGCCCCCATCATTGCTGTTCCTGAAGCTTTCTCGGAGCTCAGTCGTCTTCAGCAGAGACTATTCGCCGTCACCAAAGAAATCAAAGCTAAACGGGACCAACATCGTCATCATCGCGTCGAGTCTGTGGCGGCTCAGATTCATGATGCGTGGAAGGAGCATCGCTGGTCCCTGGTGCACCGTTTATGTCGACGACTCGCTTGCACTACAGTCGGCCCTGGACGACGTTTCTTCAACAACCCAGTCAGTCACCGACCTACATGTGCGATGTGGGGTGATTTCTTAGGGCAAGCAGGACACTGTGGCGGACAGAGCGCTACTGTGGTGGATGTTTCTCGGCTCCCTGAGGCTCGACGTGATGTTGGCACAGGTTATCGCTTCTACTCACCCGGCTTCAAAGACGACGCTGAGACCGACCTCCGCGGCATCAGACGTGCTCTTATTACTATGCAATATCACAAGAGTACCCCACCATGGAGCTTGCCGCTGGAAGTGTTTCGTATGATCTTACTCCCCACTCATCGTAACCATCGGAAGTTTAGTGAAAACCAACGTGATCAGTTTGAGGCGTCTCTCCCTACCATGAACTGGCTCACACGACGGGTACGAGGCATTCTGTGGGATGCGCGTGGCAGCGCGCACCTCCCTCTCGATTGGCATCGCTCCTGGGGCTGCTGCATACCCAAACCAACCACTGCTACTGGGCTTAAATCACTCAGGCTGGTGCATCGGATGTGCCTTTTTAGCAAGGCTTATTCTAAACATATTGGACATCGTGCTGATGAATGCCATCCTGAACGACAATATGCTGACTACCTTCATGGAGGCCTTCGCCATCGTCGACGGGAGAGTGCCATCAAGATTCAACTTATCGCTGCCTGGCGACTCCAACGGCTACAAAAATCACATTGCACGATCTTCTACGACCAGACGAACGCCTTCGGCAGCCTCAACACTGATGTTTTTGATGACACTGACGCCATTCACATGAACCCTGATGATCTGTTCTTTGGCCAACATTGTAACCATAACTGTATTGTTTCTCTTGATTGTGCAGATGGCATGGGACATTATCAAATCGGTCAAGGTGTTCTCCAGGGACATCAATCGGCTCCAGTGAAGTATATTCGTAGCTTTGATCGCACCGTGCTCCAACCATGGCTCGCTGAACGCACTGAGTGTGATGGTGGTGAGGATCTCATGTGTACCAGCCCTCTCAACGCCATCGACACATTCACCGTCAATCTTGCCACGACTGTTTTTCTGGATGACACGGCGCACAAGATTACAGGCTCGACTGCAGCCGACC